ATTTGCGAGAGAAATGAATTGGACACATTCAAACCAGAACATTGTATGAACAGTATATTTATATTATATTATTGGTATTGAGACATATTATTAGTACATTAACTCTAAACTTGACAGCTTAAAATGATTGTTTGTTAAACATTATCGGTTCATCTGTTTTTGTACATATCATAGATTGTATGTGTCACAATGATACAGTATACACAAGATGATTAGGTACAAAATGTAAAAATCACTCTCGGTGTAGTTGAGTGAACTGCTATTCAAAAAGATATGGAAAGAAAACTCTGTCATAAATTGTTATTGAAGATAGAGGTAGATATTTCAGAATGAATCACCTTGGACATATTCCCAGAAATCAACCACATCATCAGCAAGATGACTATTTAAATATTACCGACTGCTGACTCCGGAGTATGAAATTTTTCATTAGGTAACCTACTCTGTAATAGGACATTCTGGTAGCGGTTCAAGTAATAGCAACTAAAAGAAGTAAACTCAAGCTTACAAAATGTGCAATTTGGGGGAAAATTAACTGTTTTATGTTTTCTATATATACACGAAAAAAACAATGGCAAACAAATAATTGTTTCCCCAAATTGAACTGATTGTAAGCTTAATTTTACTTCCTTAAGTTGCTCTTACCTAACCGAGTACCAGAATGTCCTACCACGTAGAAGGGTAACCTGTCAAAAAATTATATACTCTGGAGTCAAAAGTCGTTAATATGAAATACATGTAGTCTATTGAAATGCCTTGCGACAATGTGTGTACTGTTAAAATGTAGCAGTACAATTATCCATATACAATGTATATACAAATGTCATAATGTCAAATTCCCCCAAACAAATTTTTATAATTTTTTGCATGGCATTGTGAAATTCTTTAAATAACATGTTGTTTCTGGAATTTAAAAACATCAGGCATGTTGAAATACAATGAAATTACAGAAGGGTGACTTTGATCTGAAGGGAAAATTAGAAAAACAAAGAATTCTTTTGATGATCATGGTAAAGGAAGCAAAAGTAGAATTCTTCCATATATTATTGATATATTTAAAAGTGTTATGTAAGCACCCATTTCCAAGCTGTATGGCTGACTGACTTGATTTAGACAATAGTGATTTTATCTTTTTGATTTTCCTCCCGAGATGTGTTAAAATATCGGAGGAAGAATTAAACAGTCCTGAGCAGAAAGTGAATAATCAATACAAGACGCAAGTTCCATTGATGGCTGCTGGTGTATATTAGGTGGTGATATCGATTGACTATATATATCGAAGGTTAAGTTTACCACTTCATTAGCTTCTTGAAGCGAAAATCTATCTGGATGATCAATCTATTGGTGTGCTTTTAATTTAATGCAGAGTATCTAGTTACACTATATATACTGTAATTCATCCTTTATAAATTCAAATAGAAAAAAATGTATTTTAACATGAAAATTGTAAGCTTGAGCTCTTCTCAGGACATTTTTAGACTCAGATGGATTTGGAGCTTGAATTGATTGAAGAGCCCTGTCTATTGTTGAAAGCTGTATGTTGCACTCGAGATTTTTTTGGTTATTTAGTCATTGGTTTGCTGTCTCATTGGTGTAAACCCACATCTTGTTTTATTCCTGTAACGCTGGGCATAACACCACTGCGTCAGAAGCAGATTGTCACTTAAGAATAATTATGTCCCAACATGAAATTAAAACCATTTTAAAAAATCATTTATTCTTGATAAATCTGTCAAATTTGTTTTAAATTTTAAAAGTTTGAAATAATTAAACATTCGAATGTTTCTGTCATCTGCTACAGTTTCAATAATTATTTGTAGTAAAAAAAAAACACTATTTAAGCACAGCCATTACTCCTGGAAAGGCAACTGAAAAGCCATCCATCGTTAGGTGACATCAACATTGTAGGTTTCACTATTTTTCCAATAGTATATCAAAGTTGTGGTTTAGCCAATAATAGCTCTTGAATCAGCATTCTGCTTCCTCTTAAAATCTTCTGTTATAGCAATAAGAGATGGTAATTGATAAATTGTCTGTTTATATATTCTTTTACTTATAATTACCAGAAACAGTGATAGGGAAGATCGCAGTAATTAAAGATAATTGTTTTATATAAATAAAAGTAAATGTGACACATAGTCAATGAGACAGAAACTCTATGAGACCTTAAAAACAAAAAATGAGATTTTTTACTATTAATTTTTAGTTTTTGATTGCATTCATTGTTATGATACCTTGTGTTTATGATTTTGGGTATACTTAGAGTTGCAGGATAATTGAAAAAAGTATTTCTGATGTCTCTAATTTTTAGAGTTAATTGTTGTTTGTTAATTATTTTTAGACATTTTCTTCATAAAATGGAATATTTTTAATTAAAAACAAAACCCAAATTTGGCCTAAAAATAATTTTCTAATTACACCATGTTCTAATTTAAAAAATGCTTTTATAGGTAGAAATAAATATTCTTCATTTGCAGTCTTCACTATCATATTGTTGCAAAAGTCTTTAACACAAATATATTTAAAAAAATTAAACTTTTTTGTAAGAGATTCAAAATTTCATCTAAATTTATAGAAGTTGCCCTTTTTAGATTTTTACTGTTCAAAAGTGAACAGTTGTAAAGTTAATCATGTCCCCTCAGGTATTTTTGTTTCACATGACTGTTTCTGCAACTTGTCATGTTGCTTTTCTTTGCTGATGCTGATGAAGGGAATTTCTCAACTATGTTGTACAATATTAAAAGTTTTCCATGACAAAGGCCTGTTAGGCCAAAATGTCTATGACAACTTGAATAAAATTGAGAATGGAAATGGGGAATATGTCAAAGAGACAACAACCCGATCAAAGAGCAGACAACAGCCGAAGGCCACCAATGGGTCTTCAACGCAGCGAGAAAATCCCGCACCCGGAGGTGGTCCTCAGCAGCTCAGCTGGCCCCTAAATAAAATTATGTACTGGTTCAGTGAAAATGGAAGTCACACAAAACATATAAAGGAACTAAAATTAAAAAAAAACATACAAGACTAACAAAGGCCAGATGCTCCTGACTTGGGACAGGCGCAAAAATGCGGCGGGGTTAAACATGTTTTGTGAGATCTCAACCCTCCCTCTATACCTCTAGCCAATGTAGAATAAAGAAAGGTTAGCATATAATTTGTTTTTACTTTTATATCTGAAGAAAAAAACACCAAAATTAACAGTTACGAGTTTTAGACATCAAGAGTTCACTAATTACTAACTTGTAGACTACATGCGGTGTGCTTAGGGTATATTTGCAGGCAAAGTGAGAGATACCACTTGCGTTAAAAGCCTCAAGTCAACAGAAAGATATTGAATGTTATTTTCATTTAATTCTTATTGTATCACTTAACTACAAGCATTCTAAATATAATTGATTGGATGTCGATTTCAAATTAGAATAGAAAGCATAATCGTTTTCCAAAGGTCGTCCCTTGAGTCACATATGTATTTTCAGTGTATGAATTAAATTTGAAAAGAAATCAATAGTCGTTTGGTTTTCTCTAAGCACAGCTGTGTTCTATTAATTCTGCTACCCTGGTATCTGATTAAACCAGTGATGGAACTTTACCTTTTATTGTTGTTGCCAATATAGCAACGAGAAATCATAATAAATAGCACAATATATAGTCTCTTTTGAAGAGAGCTCACAAATATAGCAGTGAGAAATTATAATCAGTAGCAAAACTTGAGCCTGTTTTGAAGAGAGCTCACAAATATAGCAGTGAGAAATTATAATCAGTAGCAAAACTTGAGCCTGTTTTGAAGAAAGCTCACAAATATAGCAGTGAGAAATTATAATCAGTAGCAAAACTTGAGCCTGTTTTGAAGAGAGCTCACCAATATAGCAGTGAGAAATCATAATCAGTAGCACAATATAGTCTCTTTTGAAGAGAGCTCACCAATATAGCAGTGAGAACTCATAATCAGAAGCAAAACCTAGCCTTTTTTGAAAAGAGTCCACCAATATAACTGCTTAAGCAGAACATGTAAAAAATGTTGTATGCAGATGGAGTCCTGTTCAAAATATTTTTTAGAAGGCTAGCCATTGCTAGATTTTAGAGGTTGTCAGGTACCTGGCCCCTCATAATTTGAATCCCTGAGCAACTAGCTGGATATATACCAAAGTGTAGACAGAAAAGTTCTTGAAAAATCCTGTTCATATGTACTAATCAAATTCTACAAGGACAAAAGCTACCATGTCTTTCAAGTGTGAACTTTCTATTTCTATGTAGCATCATTCTAGCACAACCTGGATATTAAGTGTTTGTCTGCCAGTTGATTTTCAAGGACTTTCTTCAGAGGCAGTTTAAGATTGTTTTCCAGGGAGCCTGGGCCCCCCTTTTGTGGGAAAAATTTGGTTGATTATATAGGGAATCACTGAAGCATGACATGACTGCCCCCTCTTAGGTAGTCAGTGTCACCCCCCCCCCCCCCCTTTACGAAAATTTCTGGATCCCCCACTGTTCTTAGTAATATGCATCAGAATTTTTTGATACAAGGTTTCCACTTCAAGGAAGCTATTGAATCATAAATTTTTATGAATTGAAGTTATTTTTTTGAAAGTTTAAGCTATACATTCTGATTACATATTTTCAATACTTGACTTTATACAGCATTGATAATTTATATGTAATTAGCATTATATGTTTTCTGACCCAGATTTGGTATCGTGAGTACATTCAATCTGTTTGGAAAAGCACTATTTCAAAGATGTTGGACCCCAAATAATGATCTAGTTATTAATTTGCTAGTGCTACTATAGCTTCCCTTCAAGTGTTTAAATGACTTTGGCTTCACTTGCAGGTTTTGCAATGCAAGTTGAAGAACGGGATAAAAGAAAAAGGTTAATTATCATATGGTCTGCTGATAATAAAAATTATGACTCCATTGTGATAAAAATAATTCAATTTAACAAATTAGTATTAGTATATTAGTAGAATGCATATGTTTAAAATTCTGTTGTCGTTTTTAATTTCAGATGCTCAAAATATTATTATAGAGGGTGATAATCCATTGGTAGCAAATGGGGGTGATAGAAAAGTGATAGCATGTAAGGTTGTCTCCGGCGTCGCCAATGGAGAAAATCCTGATCTGAAATGGTATGACAACAGAGGGAGCATAGTCACGACCAGTGGGAGGTAGGACTTAGACACAGATTTGTATACAAAGCTGTACATAAACAGCTATGTACAAAGCTGTACATTAACATAACAATATAGAAAGCTGTACTTAAAACATTGCAATGTACAAAAATGTAAATAAACATAATAATGTTCAAAGCTGTACATAAACATAACAATGTACAAAGATGTACATAAAAATAACACTGTACAAAGATGTACATAAACAGCAATGTACAAAGCTGTACATGAACATATCAATGTACAAAGATGTACATAAACATAACAATGTACAAAGATGTACATAAACATAACACTGTACAAAGATGTACATAAACATAACACTGCAAAGCTGTACATAAACATAACACTGTACAAAGCTGTACATAAACATAATGATGTAGAAAGATGTACAATAACAGAACAATGTAGAAAGATGTATGTACATAAACATAACAATATACAAAGCTGTACATAAACATAACAATATACAAAGCTGTACATAAACATAATAATCATTATTGTACAAAGCTGTACATATTAGAACAACTCTTTAAATAAACATACCCATGCTGCATGTTTATAGAGAATCTGTATATTAAACATAAACATAAAACATGCATATGTCAGATTTGGAGCCCTTGTGGGGCATAAAGATACATGTACATACATGCAATAAGATAGAATGACCCAAATGAAGATAGCAATAGACAAGCTATGTTCTGACACATGATATTATTTGAATAACTACATTGAAAAGGTTAAGTACAATTTAGATTCTTTGTATGATGTCAGAATACAAATGTTTACAAAAATAATATGATAACATATATTAATGCATGTCTTTGTTTCTTATTCCTTAGTTTGTTTGCATAAAATTTGAAAGTATACATAAAATGGTTTTGTCTTCATTAGAGAAGACCCAATGAAATTTTTCTCAATTGTTCAACAATTAATAGTCTTGACATAATTGACCAATTTCAGTAGTCTTTTTTTTTGTCGTTCATTGTCATAGAGAGGATATTCAAGCAGATCTCATTCTCAACTTTAGATGATGTACAATGAGTGCATAATCTATCTTCTCTTTTCAGTGGAACTAACAGTTCATTTATTTTCCTTTTTCATAGCTCAGTTTCTATAAGAAGTTGGTGGGGACTTAGTCTAAACTTGGTTATAATATTACTATGTCTAAAATCCAAGATACTTAAATAGGCTTCGCGTCAAGGTGGTTTTTTGTCTCGCATGGGTTAAGTCTGTTTCTCAGATACATGTACTATAAGCAATGGGTCAACTGAATTTGGTGTATTGAATGATTGTAAGGTGTACATGTCTGTCTGGTAGGGTTTATCTGACTTTGACCTTATTTTCTTGGTTCATTGGTCAATGTTAAGTTTTCATCGGTAGGTCTGTTTATTTAAGCTGTAGGTTAGCTATTTTTGGTGTATGGAATGATTGTAATGTGATCATGTCTGTCTGGCAAGGTTCATCTGACCTTAATATAAAAATAAGGAGATGAGGTACGATTGCCAATGAAACAACTATCCACCAAAGTTCAAATAAAGTGGATGTAAGCAATTATAGGCAACCATACAGCCTTCAACAATGAGAAAAACCCATACTGTATAGTCGGCTATAAAAGACCTTTTTTTAACCTCATTAACATTGATCATTGATAATAGTAAGTATAAGTGCTACTTGTAGTAAAATCTTTATATATATAAATATCTGTATATGATATGATCATTGGAAAAGATTTACATACCAGTATATTTTACAAGGTGGCTACTTGAGTGTTTAACCCACCATTGTCTTTTTAAAAATTCCTGTACCAAGTCAGGAATGTGGCATTTGTTTTTTACTTGTATCGTTGATTGATAGCATTTAATTTTGTCAGTTTTTATGGACTTCCCCTCTTTGAATTCAGTATTTTTGTTATAGATATAGGAAGATGTGGTATGAGTGCCAATGAGACAACTCTCCATCCAAGTTACAATTTATAAAAGTAAACCATTATAGGTCAAGGTACGGCCTTCAACATGGAGCATTGGCTCACACAAAACAGCAAGCTATAAATTTTTATTGTTTGATGGCAAACCACAAGCTATGTATTCACAAAATAAAATTGTCATTTGGTTTTCTTGACAGAACCAATCATTAAAACTACAAAACTTAGGATCACCGTTTAACAACATTTTTTTTTTTTAAGTTCATAAATATCAGTACCTTTGGAAAAAAAGTTAGTTGTTGAATTTCAAACAAATTTTTTTCTTCAGAATTTTTGTTTTGAGTCAATCTGCAACAGATTTAAAGTTACTGTTGAATGATGTCCAGGAAGATGATGCTGGTAGCTACAACTGTACGGGATTTATTAATGGCCAACTACAGTCTGCTCATATCGTAGTGAAAACCAAAAGTAACTATTTTTATCATGTTCTTAGTATGTATACTGCAAGTATTTTAGGATATATGACAGTTAAATTTGCATTTGCAGAATTTACAAACGACACTTAATAACATTTTGTGCATCCAAAGCTCTTTTCTGGATTTATCTTCATCAGGAACGCTCTTAAACTCAAACATTTGAAAAGCAAGGATGATAAATACATATAAATGTGTGTGAGCAGCTATATGACCAAATGAGACTGAAAAGAATACTTAAATTCATCTATAAATGTAAACTTTTGCCTGAGGGAGATGGAACCATTAATAGTTCCTAACAATATCTAAAGTTATTAATGGAGAATTAAATAACAGTATGTTATAAATCAAATCAGTACTGAAGCGCTTACTACCGAGCTCATGATATCCTCTTGAAATAGCAGTCAGCAGTATTAAGCCAGTGCTAGTGAATGAAAATAACACTTAATAAATTTGTGAGTCTGAAGCACTTTTCTTGATTTACTTTAATCAGGAATGCTCAGACCTCAAATAATATAAAACCAGGTTTGATGAATATTTAGACACGTCAGGAACTATTAGACCAAAAGACACCAAAAAAGAATAGTCAAATCCATATAAAATCAACTTTGTCTAAAAAGAATAGTCAAATCCATATAAAATCAACTTTGTCTAAAAAGAATAGTCAAATCCATATAAAATCAACTTTGTCTAAAAAGAATTGTCAAATCCATTGTCTAAAAAGAATAGTCAAATTCATATAAAATCAACTTTGTCTAAAAAGAATAGTCAAATCCATATAAAATCAACTTTATCTAAGGGAGTTGGAACCTAAGCTTTTAAACAATTTCTAAATTTATCAATGGAGAATTTAATAAGAATAGGTTATTAATCATGTGCAACTACTGATCTGATGATTCCATTGTACTCATAAAATGTTTTTTGTAATATTTTTAAGTGTATGCACCAAACATTTTGACATGTTTGTCTTCTTTCAAAACAATGAATATTCAATAATTGGTGTGAAGCTATTTTTTTTCAAACACTACAAACTGGAAATCGTCTGAGTCATATAAAAATTCTGAAAACATCTTTGTAAGAAATTGGTGTTTACCGGACTCACCATTAATCACTTTTGTTAAGTTGGTCTTTTTAACATTGAATGTGGTCTCTTAAGGTTTTTCTCACACAGCTCATCATTCAATTATTTATGCTTAAAAAAAACCAACAAAGTCATTGATCGATTATAAATTCAGTAGTAATAAATCAAAATTTTTGTTGCCAATTTTTAAGAAGGAAAAAAGTCTGAACAGGTTTTTGAATTGCAATTTGAAATAAAAGTATCTGTACTTTTTTGGCAATCTTTTAGTTCGCTTTTCTCCTACTCATTTCTTTTCCTTTATCTGAGAAGGTATGAAAGTTAAATATATAATTTTTATACCCCGCTTTAATAAAGTGGTAGTCTTTACCTCTGTCTGTTCGTCCGTCCGTCCCATGAATATTTTTGGTCGCATCTTTCTCAGGAACTACATTACAAGGATTTCTGAAGTATCAGGGTTTATATGAGTCAACTATACCGTGTGATGCGTTTTCAGATTCACCACTCGAAAACTTCCTGTTTACCTTATACTTTTAACGGGGCGGGGGAATCATTAGTGAGCGCAGTAGCTCACAGATTCACTTGTTGAAAACCCAGATGCCAGGACTCACCACACCAGGCAAAGAGAGCAAGTTTCTCTGCGTTAGGATTCAAGATTGGGCTTAAAATAGCATCAAAGGGACTCTAGATTTACAATATTCAATTTATTCAGACCACAAGGCAAGACAATTTAGTAGTAGTTATAAAATAGGCTCCTAAGACATAAAAGGTGTGATCATTTTTCCATGAAAAGTATATTATCACAACCTGTTGGGTCTTTATCTCTCCTTGTTTGGCTGCCAGTGAGAAGTCAATTCTCTCTTAAATTCTGAAATGTGTTGACCCCTGATATGCAAATGCTCTAGTTGCATCCAGCACCAGTTGTATAACCCAGCATTCAATGTGATAATTAAAAATGATAAAATAACACATCTTTTTTTTCAGTGCCTTTGATTATTACAGAGGAACAAGCTCCAAGAACTCAACTTTTTCCAGAAGGAGGGAGTGCACGTATTAAATGTGCTCCACAAGGACAAGTTTCTGTTAGCTGGAGGGATCGCAACGGAACTAGAATAGAATCATCCCGTGAGATATATTATTTTATTGGACAGCAGCAATTTTGTTCTCAAGGGTTTTACATAAATGCCTTTTCAGTTTTTGGAATTGTCAAATACAATGTGTGTTAACCAATTTTCAGCTATTGGCATTGCACTAAAAAGATTCAGCAATTTTTATACGACCGCAAAATATTTTGCGGTCTTATATTGGTATGACGTTGGCATTGTCGTCGTCGTCCAAAGACACATTGATTTTCGCACTCTAACTTTAGTTTAAGTGAATGGATCTCTATGAAATTTTACCATAAGGTTCAATACCACAAAAGGAAGGTTGGGATTGATTTTGGGGGTTATGGTACCAACAGTTAAGGAATTAGGGGCCAAAAAGGGGCCAAAAATAAGCATTTTTGTAACTTCCAGACATAACTTGTTTGTTAGTGTATGGATCTCTCTGACATTGTACCACAAGGTTCCATATCACAAAGGGAATGCTGGGATTGATTTTGGGGGTAATTGCCTCAAAATTTTAGGAATTAGGGGCCAAAAAAGGGGCAAAAAACAAGCATTTTTCTAGTTTCAGGACAATAACTGACATTTTTAAAGGCAGTGCCTTTTTTGGTATCACCCAATAGCCATGTACATTGCGTTTCTACATAGGGGGTAAATACCTCATCATAGAAATCCAGGAAAGTTGAATTCTTCTATTTGTGATGTTCTGTGTTTTTATGCCCTCGCCGTAGCGGAGGGGGCATTAAGCTTTACCCTTGTCTGTCTGTACGTCCGTCCATCCCGAAATAGGTTTCCGTTCTCTAACTTTAGTTTGCCTCAACCAAATTTAATGAAACTTATACACAATGCTTATTACCACAAAACACTGATCAAGATTGAATTTAGGTGACATCACTTTTACCTTTCTAATCTATAGATATGCCCCTTTACAGATGGAAACATTTATGAATCTTATACACAATACTTGTTACAACAAAACACAGATCAAGTTTGAATTTTGGTGGCATCACTTTTACTGTTCTAGATTTATGCCCCTTCACAAAGGGAAAAATTGCTGAATTTTTCGTTTCCGTTCTCTAACTTCTTACCGTTCTTGAGTTATGTCAAACGTTATGTATAACTTTATATGCAATCCCCATTTATTTTTATGCCTCTGCCATAACGGAGGGGGCATTAAGTTTTACCCTTGTCCGTCTGTACATCCGTCCGTACGTACATAAGTCCCAAAGTTGGTTTCCGTTCTCTAACTTTAGTTTGCCTCAACCAAATGCTATGAAACTTATACAAAATGCTTATTACCACAAAACAAAGATCTATTTTGAATTTTGGTGGTGTCACTTTAACTGTTCTAGAGTTATGCCCCTTTACAAATGGAAAAATTGCTGAATTTTTCGTTTCCGTTCTCTAACTTTAGTTTGCCTCATCCAAATGTTATGAAACTTATACACAATGCTTATTACCACAAAACACAGATCAAGTTTGAATTTTGGTGTTGTCACTTTAATCGTTCTAGAGTTATGCCCCTTTACAAATGGAAAAATTGCTGAATTTTTCGTTACCGTTCTCTAACTTTAGTTTGCCTCAACCAAATGTAATGAAACTTATACACAATGATTTTTACCACAAAACTCAGATCAAGTTTGAATTTTGGTGGTGTCACTTTTATTGTTCTAGAGTTATGCCCCTTTACAAATGGAAAAATTGCTGAATTTTTTCGCTTCCTTCTCTAACTTTAGTTTGCCTCAACCAAATGTTATGAAACTTATACACAATGCTTATTACCACAAAATACAGATCAAGTTTGAATTTTGGTGTTGTCACCATTATTACTTTAGTTTATCAAGTAATAATGTTCTCTAACTTTAGTTTGCCTCAACCAAATGTTATGAAACTTATACGCAATACTTATTACCACAAAACTCAGATCAAGTACAAATTTGGGTAGAGTCACTTTTACCGTTCTTCAGTTATGTCCCTTTATAACTTTATATGATGTGCAAGCGGAGGCATCATCTGTGTCCATTTCCCATTTATTTTATTGTAATTCATTAAAACTGGGCAATAAAGAAGGGAATGATGTTTTTGTTACTTTTCAAAAATTCGAATTTCATTTTACATTATGAGTAGTCTACTGATTGACAACCAGAATTACTGTAAAATCTGTGTGAAAATAGTCTGGGTTTATTTTGAGTGGTATTTCAATCTTATGTTGTTTTTAATGTCATTTCGGTACTTTAATATGTATTAATGAAAAGTCAACTGAATAATGCCTAGTCACTACATACCAAATTGCACACTAACTTCAGTATTCTTGAATTTGTTTATCCAAACTTTAAATTATTGTGGGCATTGATAAAAGGAAGCTCGTTTGTGATTTTTTTAGTGTTCTGGTTTGTTTTTCCAGAGTTAAGGAACTTTAACTGTTACATTTAATGCAATTTTCTAAAATCGCAAAGTAACTCCAGTTTTCCGGGATTGATTTCTTCTAAACTTAATATTATTGTGGGAATTTCCCTTTTTGATTTTTTTATTTTCTGGTTTGTTGCTCCAGAGTTATGGGACTTTAATTGTCAGATTTTTGTAAAATTTTTCACATATTCATTATTGTACCATAACTTTTTCTTGAATTGATTGAGTGGAAACTTGATGTAATTGTTGGAATTGGTGAACATAATAAATTGTTCGATTTAAAAAACGGTATCCTGTGGCATGATTTTCTACAGAGCCATTTTATTTGCCTATAATTAAATGCCTTCAAAATATCCCATTTTATTCTTGCAACAATTTTAATATGCACAATAAGGGCATAAATATCATGTGCTCTTGGCGCAGCTGTTTATTTATATGGGGTATAATATAATTTTATTTTTGTATGTTTTTTTGTATAAGATCATATATAATAATTGGTATGATATTAATTTTTTTTTAGATGAAAGATATGTGATTAGTCCTGGTTATCTGGAGATTCCAAATGTCAACAGGACAGATGATGGAGTGTATCAATGTGTAGTGATTGGAGGTGGTGACTTCGAAGTGGTGAAAATAACTGTTACAGTAACAGGTAAATGAAGCAATTTAAGAGTTGAAGAGTGGATAGTTTTGAAGTCAAAAGGATCACCAAATAGAAGAGGGTCTGGATGGGGTTTACAGAATAGAGAATAATGGGCAAAAAGTGCTGATGAATATTTCTTTGATTCAATATTTTTTTATCAATGTTTTTTTTTTAAAACAGACATTTTTAAAAAGTAATCACAACCTAATTTTACCTGTTGTATGTTCATATGTTTTTTTCTTTCTATTAGATGACCAAGTGATGTAAAGCAAATAATTACCAACCAATCAACAAGATTTCTGAAAAACATTTCCTTGAAAAATAAATGCCTAGAATTATAGAATAATATATTTTCTATAGCTTTAGATACTACAGAATTTCAATTTCTTGTGCCAAAATTACAACTTTCTTTAAGTTTATTTATTAATATTTTTAATATTTTGATAGTTCCACCACAGATAGTTAAACCACCAACAGCTCAGAGTGTTTCGGTGGGAGAGGCTGCAAGATTCGAGTGTGTTGCTACTGCCAAACCATCACCCAAATATTATTGGTATTTTGTAAGTAACTAAATGATTTTATAGCCCTGTCTGCAAAGGTACCTGTTTAAATGAGTGTCCATATGTATTCATTTATTAAATGGTCCAAGGACACAGTTATTGTCCTTTGGTTTTCGTTGTCTACAAATATAGTCCCTAGTGTGAACAGTGTATAACTTGCATTTTTTTTTGATACACTTTCCCAATTTATTTCTTGATATTTTATGCATGAAATATTAAGTAAGGGGTGAAATTACATGTTAAAAAAATTTGGGTGCTGAATCTTTATGTTAAGTAGTGATTTGGTCCAGTTAAAAAAGGTCAAAAATTAGAATGTCTGAAGCTGTCAAACTGAATTTTAGCCCCCCTTAACACAGAATTGTCAATATTTTGAGTTAGAGCTGGTAGAAGTTTCTATAATTTTGATATTATTTGTATCAATAGTAGTACACTACACAGTAAAAATCTTTTCGAGATAGAGCAGGTGCGATTTTTTTTAATTTGAATTTACTGTCTAAAAGAAATGCACTACGAAATAACTGTGTTCTCGGGCCTAAGAGATGAATTCCGTAAATGTAGATTCTGTACTTTGGCAACTTTCCTGAATGGTTTGCTGGTTTCAATTTGTCAAACTCAATAAAAGTAAAGGATTTACATCTTTGTTTGACAGAAATTCTGTTAAAATGTCCCGTTTTGGCATTATACGGCTAAAATAAGCATTTTAAAGCAGTTTCCATTTTATGACTAAGAGCCATGCTGACTTTCTATCTGACAGCTTTTTATGTTCCTGATATTTGTGTTTCTATGCTTAAATCAAATTTAATTAACCATTTGTGAACTCTGAATTTAGAGAAAAGTAGATTATCACAGAAAAAATGTGCAGAATATTTGTATTTATGTCCCTGGTTAAACGGCCTGTTTGATGTATGTGAAATGTGAAGAGCTTTGTACATAAAATCTGTAGTCCATCACAAATATTTCACTAAATCTGTAAAAAAAAAACACTTTACAATGATCAGAACACCCTATTCATTTCATATGCTACCATAATGTTCTTCTTTAGGATAGTAAGTGGTTCAAATATATGCCAATTGAGACTAAAACTACATGCAAGTTTTCCATTGAAAAGTGAAAAACTGGTCATCAGACCATACTGTCTGCAAAAAAGGTTGAATTCAAGAGTCCTTTTGCAATTAGACTTCTTGTATCATGACATCTTAGCATAGAAATGAGCAAAAAGTAACAAATTTCCATTGCTTATAGCCTCTGTGTGCATTTTTATATGTAAATATGGGCTACGGCCTAAATTGACTCTAAATAATTCTCAGTCTTACATGGCCTAAGACCATTTTATACTCATGTGGTATGCTTTTTGTAACTTTTCTTTACATTTAAAGTACATTTAATATATATGGAAGAATAATGTATGGTTTAAAAAATTCAAAAACTTCAAATTGGTTGAAAAAAATGCATGTTTATGTAAGGCTTCCCTTAATTCGAAAATCTCTATTTTCAGACACAGGCTCATATAAATTTGACTTTTGAATAACTGTGATAAATCTGAAAAATCAAATGAGTGTTCCGTTGCTTTTAATACTTATTATATTATATTCAAGAGTATTTAAAAAGCAAATTTTTGCAATATTTAAATTTTTTAGGCCAAAATCTTGACAGTTGAAAATATTTGATTTAAACGTCAAAAATAAACATCCAAATTTCAATATTAAAATGGCCCTAGTTTCTATAATATATATCCTATGGCCATGAAACTTGGCCAACTATCTTATAATTTCCTAAGCTTAGGTCATGCAAAGTTTTATTAAAATTGGTCAAGTCTTTCTATCCTATTAGGTCCAAGGACACAGTTATCGTCCTTTGGTTTTCGTTGTCTACAAATATAGTCCCTAGTGTGAACAGTGTATAACTTGCATTTTTTTTTGATACACTTTCCCAATTTATTTCTTGATATTTTATGCATGAAATATTAAGTAAGGGGGTAAAATTACATGTTAAAAAAATTTGGGTGCTGAATCTTTATGTTAAGTAGTGATTTGGTCCAGTTAAAAAAGGTCAAAAATTAGAATGTCTGAAGCTGTCAAACTGAATTTTAGCCCCCCTTAACACAGAATTGTCAATATTTTGAGTTAGAGCTGGTAGAAGTTTCTATAATTTTGATATTATTTGTATCAATAGTAGTACACTACACAGTAAAAATCTTTTCGAGATAGAGCAGGTGCGATTTTTTTAATTTGAATTTACTGTCTAAAAGAAATGCACTACGAAATAACTGTGTTCTCAGGCCAAATGGGAGTTTTTTCTGAGTACTTCTAATTAAAGCTACATATGTGTTACCAAGTGTCATATGGTCATCTGGTATACTGTATTCATTGTTCATCATCATCTTTTCAAGCTAAAGTTGTGTTCAAAATTTACATATTCCTTAAGGATTAAATAGGTGAAAACTGTATTTATATATATGTATAAAGATAGAAAACTAATAGTCTGAATTTTATTCAGTTGAGAGATAGCTTTATTAAAGAATACAAAATAAAGAATTAGGTCACTGTTCTCCTTTTCTTGCTTTTTAGATTAGCTTATTTTACAGTTGACTCATTTATTGTCTCGCCTTGACAGAGTCAAAAAGCGACACAGGTATGCTGTTTCCGGCGTCGACAGCGTCAACAATGTATTTGTTTGTGATAAGGTCTAGTTTATGGTGAACCACTAGTGGTAGGTCAATGATTTTTGGTATGCAGTTGTATTAGCATTGGCACATCTCATTTCCATGGAAAGTATTTGGCCCTGCCCCCTCAGTCATGGTCTATTGACTTTCAAACTTTTGCTTAGTTTACATGTATTAGTTTGGGATTAGGTCAGTTCAAGGGGAACCACTATTGGTATGCCAATGTTAATTGGTATTCAGTTGTATAAGCATTAGCACATCTCATTTCCATGGAGAATATTTGGCCTCGCCCCCTCAGTCATGGTCTATTGACTTTGAAACGTTTGTTTAGTTTACATGTATTAGTTTGTGATTAGATCAGTTTAAGATGAACCGCTAATGTTAAGTCAATGATATTTAGTATGCAAATTTATTGGCATTTGCAAGTCTGTTTTTCATTGAGATTATATAGCACCACCCCCTCTTCATGTTTCAGTGACTTTGAAACTTTAAGTTAATGTTTGTGTTTAGGTTTGTTTATGATAAGTCAATGGTATTTGGTATGCAGTTGTATTAGCATTGGTACATCTCATTTCCATGGAGATTGTTTAGCCATGTACCTTCAGTCATGGTTCATTGACTTTGAATATTTGCATAACTTACATGTTAAATTATTGTTATTTTAATTACAACATTTGCATTATCAAAATTACAAAAAGGCGAGACATATCTCTGTGTTAACAGTTTATAATGCTATTATCTTTATCTCTTATAAAGCAAATTTCTGATATTATTTATGCCCTGCCCGTGAAAGTAGAGGGGCATTATGTTTCCAGGTCTGTCCATCAGTCGGATCTGTCTGTTTGTCCTTTGTGGTCACATCAAGTTGTTACTTAGTAAAAATGTTCATTATGATTTGAGCCCTTTAATATACATATATATGACAAGTTTTCAACACTCACTGAACGTTGAATTATGATAATGCGATTATGGCGATTCCATTGTTTTTTGTAAAAATTATCAAAGTATTATAAATTTTCCCATTTAAAAACTCAATTGCATTCAAATAAACTACATCAAAGTTTGATAGTTTTCATTAATATTCATTGAGGCACAAGATGGCATCAACTATCACACTGTTATTTTAAATTGTGTTTTTTTTTTAAACTTTTACAGAATAGCATAACAATAGAATTAACTGGAGAACGCTACAATTTATCAAGAGATGCTGGAGTATTGATTATAAAAAAGGTCATTAAAGACGATGCAGGAACGTACAAGTGTGTTGCTCGAAGTACAGACAAGTCTGACGAAAAGGATGCAGCCCTGACTGTTTTAGGTAGAATTTTTGCATAATTTTCTATAATGACATGTTTAAAATTGGTCTTACTGTAAAACAAATCAAACAATATTTTAGTAATGCAGATTTTTGGCTATGTAGCGATGAAGTTGAACCTGCCAAATGATATGAAGAATGGATCTGAGCTTCCATGCAGTTCCTGGATAAAATCTTGTGAGCCATAAACAATATGTTTGCCAAACTTGGGTTTTAAATTGTCCCATGGAGTGTGGATTAACCATATTGATTTTGAGTTCACTAGGTCAAATCAGGGCTTCCAAAACGGTCATATTTTCCGGACAAGTCCTATAAATAATATAAATGACTTCTTGTGTCGAAGCTGAAACAGACATTTTAATAACATAGTTCAGAAAAAAAAATTGAAGTTCATGCGATTTTTTCAGTTTTGACCTGACCTTTTGTTATTAACAGCTACACATTTCCGGTCATAAAAGTGACATGATGAATAATTACTATCAACACAAACCCTACTTTAATACCCTCTCATTACAATCAAGGCTAATTAGTTCTCTGACAGCTGACTTTACCTGTTCAGGCGACAGGTAAAATATTTTGTACCAGACATTGATTGATCAGTCTATTGAAAGTTATTTTCTTAAATTTCAGCGGTTTGCATCTAAATAATTTAGTCAACAAGTTTTAGGTTACCAAAAATTAAATATATATAATAAATATGATATGATGAAAATTTAAAAATGAACTAGTAAAGGTTTTAAGTGAAAATTCTTCAGAACCATGTTGTTTAAACTAGTATACATGTGTGCATGTGCGCAGGTGCGAGATTTAATAATGCATCTGAATTTTCAAAAAATACTAAAAATATCACTGATACCATTATCTTATGTTCATTTCGAGTATTTTCCTGTAGAAATAAAGCAGAAAGAGCTACTTTGATCTACTTTAGTAACTCAATTGTGCTTTGTAAACGTACACGGATTATACATATCTGTCTCTGGTCCGTGTTTTACCATTGTCAAGTCAACATCCGGTATGAGGAAAATGTACTTTTCTAAAACGAAAGTGTAGTTATTTACAGCGTACTTTTGCACAAATAGATTGTCTTAGGCAGATATTAGTACGCTGATGTTGCACACTTCGAATAGTGCACTGTCAATTTAACAGTTAACAAAATAACATCGAGTTTATATAAAAAAATCAAGTCAAATACCGTTTTTGTGTCAATCATAATTTATATGATGCCCAACTGATTACTATGGTTTCCTTTTTTTACTAAGTCTGAAGGGATTAAAATCGGAATGAGACCAAAAAAAAATATCCGGCTGGCTCAAATATTTTTTGGAAGCCCTGGGTCAAATGTCAAGGTCAGAGCAGCTATTGATAAACTGAAATGGCAAAACTTTAATTTCTGGATGTTGTCTTTTAAACCATATGTCCAACTTTTAATACCCTTCATATGGATGCATCCCCTTCAAAACATTTATATGCAGTTTTCAGGAAAAATGGATAGGGCATATAGGATTTCTACATACAGTCGAACCTCGTTGTGTCGAAGTCGAAGGGACCGAACCAAAGTATTCGACACATCCGAGGTTCGACTCATCCGAGGTCGAGTGTGTTGTCATAAATTTGGAATGCTTGAAATACGGTATGATTTGTGTAAACTAGATACAATGAACAGTGTTTTTTTTCGATATGACACTTTATGATTGTGTATTCAATCTCCATTTTTGTTCCTTCATAATAAATAAACACACATGTACAGATACAAATCAATCATGCACAAATATAATCAATAGTCTACACAAATATTTACAAAGGTCAGTCACTATAAATTATGAAATCACTCGCGGAACGAATTAAGTTATGAACGGTCTCTGATGAGCCAGAGGTCGTCTGCTTTACATTAAATTATCATGAATTTATCATAATTGTTCTAATCCTTTTATTTATTGTAATTAATGAGTTTTAAATCTAACAATTCATTTAATCTCGGCTTGTGTCATTTAAATTCGTTTTTTTTTTATCTGATGTGAAAAATGTTCAACACACTAACATTCCGCTTGAACGATCAACCAAAGGTGTTAATTACCGGTCACCATAAACATGTCATTTTAACTGTTATACAAACAAGTATGTTTACTCTGCTTTAATCTCTTTTGAAAATGATTAGGTTACATAAGAAATACATCCGATTTGAATTTTTATCATTAGGTCTGCATCTTTTGAAAATCCTTACTTTCGAACTTCGAGTCATCTGGGTCAATTTTCATGAATTTTACATCGACGGGACTATAAAATTTACTCGACTTAACCGAGTATTTGAATCAACCGAGTTCGACTCATCAGAGGTTATTATGCATTGATCAAACGGGAATTTAACTGGGACCGAGAAATTACTTCGATTCATCCGAGTTTTGGACACAAACGAGTTCGACACAACGAGGTTCGACTGTATCAGTACTGGGATTGATACATGAATCTTGTCACCCTCAAATTAAACACAAAAAATACAAAACAAAATAGAAATAGATATTGTCACCTTTTATGAAAAAAAAAAGTTTCTTCTTACATGTTCATCTTAGCATATTTGTCTGATTAATTTAAAACCATTTCAAATCTTTGACAAGTGTGTTATGTATACAGTATACATATATCTAAATGATAGATTTATTGAAATAAATTTCAGTTCCACCACAAATCAACAAGTTGGATAATGCAACTGGGGATGAAGGCACGTCAGCAACAATTAAATGTACAGCATATGGAGAGCCCATTCCAAAGATCACTTGGATGAAAGAAGGCACCTCAGTAGAAATTACTGATGGAACACAAATTGTATGTATCACTTTTGTTAAAATCACTTAACAAAATGAGACAAAATTCTGCAAATTTTTTTTATGTAAGACCTTACTATGTACTATTGTGGTTATTCTATGTATGGAAAAGACTTGTTTCTCCTGAACTATTTTTCAGAATGGGGTACCTGAGGGGGTAAAAGCCATTTTGGCTTAATTGCATTCACCTTGTTCATTGCACATATATATTTTTGTAACCATTCTCATGTACTGCTGGCAGAATGACCTCGTATTTGATCGGCAACTTGATAGTCGTAAGTTGTAAAGTGTGAGACCTTTTCAGATTTATCAGACACCTACTTCCTGTTTGCTCATACTTATAATTTTGCAAACTTCAATGAGACACAAATAACCAAAAGACGTCCAGACCCATAGCCAGGATAGCAGTGATGAGGGGTATTTTGGGTCATGACACTCTGACTTTGATAGTCGAACTTCAATCTGAATCGTTACTTTAATAGTCTTTACTAGTATGTTTTTTCTAAACCCAACTGGCTCTAGGTATGACATCTGTAGGGTAACAGTTTACAAAAATAGACAGGGATCTATGAAGTTGTGTATAAATTATTTTCATCACACATTTCTGTTGTTCTTCTTTTTTGGTCTGAAGCAATTGGAAAAATCTTATGGTCAGCACATCAAGCTCTATCTGGAGGTATTGCTCCTAAAATGTCCTTTTTTTTGTCTCGCCTTGACAAAGTAAAAAGGCTGAATAAACCTTATAATAATGACCTTACATGAAGCTATTTATTGAATGCAAACTACATTAAATGATTTCAAAGTTTCATGCATTTGAGATCCCATATTTGTAAGTTTTGTTTTTATCAGAATTTTGCCTTGGGCACAGTTTGATAATCTTTAAATTTGAATATTCTTTTATTTTTGTGAACAGGACAATTCAGACATTGTTGCATCTCAAGTCGCAAGACCAGATCGTATGGAAGTTGAAGGAAGTTTACAGATAAGCAACTTGAAGTCCAGTGATGCTGGGTTTTACATATGCAAAGCAACAAATGAAGCTAAATCAGTAGAGAAGTCTGCTTATTTAAGTGTTCAATGTATGTATTCAAATTCTATATGTTATTTAAGTGTACAATGAATGTACTTAAATTCTATATGTTATTTAAGTGTACAATGTATGTACTCAAATTCTATGTTATTTAAGTGTACAATATATGTACTCAAATTCTATATGTTATTTAAGTGTACAATTTTTGTACTTAAATTCTATATGTTATTTAAGTGTACAATGTATGTACTTAAATTCGATATGTTATTTAAGTGTACAATGTATGCACTAAAATTCTATATGTTATTTAAGTGTACAATGTATGTACTTAAATTCTATATGTTATTTAAGTGTACAATGAATGTACTTAAATTCTATATGTTATTTAAGTGAACAATGTATGTACTTAAATTCTATATGTTATCTTAGTGTACAATGAATGTACTTAAATTCTATATCTTATTTAAGTGTACAATGAATAAACTTAAATTCTATATGTTATTTAAGTGAACAATGTATGTAGACAACTTCAGTTGATTGATTGATTGATTGGTGTTTAATGCCACTTTTGGCACTCTTGACTATTTTGTGGTGGTCAGTTTCGATTGTTGGAGGAAGCCAGAGTGCTCTCAATTTTATGGTTGCTTTGTAGAAATATTTCTGACACACAAAAACATTATGTGTACGATAATCAAGAAACCATGTAAATTATAATTAAAAGTTATAACACTGTCTTTCGATCATTGATGATTATTTAATGTGTATATGTTAAAATTTTGCAGACAAACCTAACTTCTCAAAAGTAATGAAAGATGTTATGTACAGTTGGGGTGGACAAAGCACAAATATTAAGTGTATTGCTACTGGTGTCCCTAGTGCAGATATATCCTGGGCAAAAGGAGGACAAACAATCAATGCAGGGGACCAGTATTACTCTCTGAAGTCTGTTACAATTGGAGAAGATACAGAAAGCACTTTGACAGTAAGTGGTTGGGTCATTATGGTAATGTATAAAATTGATAATTAAGAAATAATGTTTTATACTTTAAAATCTATTTTTTTGCTGTTTTTATTCAAGGAGTTGTAACATAGGAAAACAAATATTCTCCAAAAAATTTGAATTGATAGTTAAATACATACATAATGACATAAATTATTAAAATTTAAATAATTGTGAATGATAGATATTGGGTAAACTTCAATGAGACACAAATAACCAAAAGACGTCCAGACCCATAGCCAGGATAGCAGTGATGAGGGGTATTTTGGGTCATGACACTCTGACTTTGATAGTTGAACTTCAATCTGAATCGTTACTTTAATAGTCTTTAATAGTATGTTTTTTTCTAAACCCAACTGGCTCTAGGTATGACATCTGTAGGGTAACAGTTTACAAAAATAGACAGGGATCTATGAAGTTGTGTATAAATATGTTGTGACCACTAACTGTAAAAAATTAGTACTTTTGAATTATTTATTATGAAAGTCTGTGACTAATTACAATATTTATTTTAGGTCAGTGTAGATTTCTCAAATGAAGCAATTGTGTTTGGAGTCTACACTTGCAAAGCTGGAAATGCCATTGGAGAAAGTACAAAAAATTTCACATTACAGAGAGCAGGTAATTTCTTATTTTTAGTTGAAGTGTCTCAAAGGGTCATGGGAGAGATGTCACTTCATTTTAATGGTTTAATCATTGATAAGAATGTAATTTCTTCATCATCTCTGACTGAAATGTACTGATGTGATATGAAACAAACTTTCGTAATGAATTAGCTTTGTTTTGTAAGGGTTTCATGAAAAAATTGCTGCAGATCGCATTCTTGATTTTGATTTTCTTCTCTGCATAATCTTTCCTAAAGTTTCAATGGCTTGGTAGGAATTAATATGACCATTAGGTCTTTGATGCAGTTGTTTATGCTAGGAGGTGAACATTTATCCACAAATACTGTGGATTCAATATTATTCATTGCAAAGCAATTGTCGTGGATTTCAGAGGTACAGGTGAACCATGAATTTAAATGTACAACAAATTATAAATTTGCTATAAGGTTATATGCAGACTTTGGCAAAACCACAAAAACAAATATCCATGAAAATGCAAGTTCTTCAATCCACGAAAATTGGTACCCAAGAAAATAAATGAATCCACAGTATATTGCATTTGTTGTAGCCACAACCTCATTCTCTTTTTCTCAATCTTGACATAACACATTGTGACTTTTCAATGGACTTCTAGTGAGCGACACGATGGGAGCCACTTGAGGAGCAGGTCCCTTCTAGAGCTCAGAAGTTCATCTGTTTTCCATTGACCATAGTGTTGTCTGCATTTTATTACACATGTGATGGTAGCTACAGAGACAGCTAGTGTTCCATAAAACTATATGGAAATGCACTTTCCCATTTCTGAGAATTTGGCCAATTTGGACCAAATTTATTCAGCATGTTTTCAGGAAGAAAGATTGGCAGAAAGCGTTAACAGAGACTGGTGTCAACATACAAATGTTTTATCAATTAGCAAAGAACAATTATCAACTATTTTATAGGTTCATGAATACCAATCATCCATTTCTGAGCCCTCCTCATGGGGTTTTTGATTATGTGATTACTTGACCGTTTTTATATTGATTATTTGATTACCAGACCAAATATTTCATGATTATTTGATAATCTAGGACTGTATTTTTGATTATTTTATTATCTTGTTAAAAAAAATAATTAATGATTATGTGATTATATTGGCAAAAAATTTGTGATTATGTGATTACTTGGATACCCCCATGAGGGGCCTCATTTCTCCATTTACATTTTGAAAATTACAGCAATATAAGAGAATATCTGTATTGTTTGAAATCATAAAAGTATAACAGACCAGGTGCATATATGATGGACTAGTTATATGCTGTTTCAGAATTTTACCATCACAATTACAAGTATACTTGCTGAAAGTATTTTTGATTTTGCCTCTGCAACTGTGTTCATCAATGAACAGGTGTAATGTTATCTACATATAGCAAAGAATTCCACTCAAACTGGTGATAGGGGCTGTCTTGAACTTGCAGTGAGGTGTGGACTTTTGTTCCATGTTGAAAGCTTTACTGTGACTTTGAAAAGGAGAACAGCAATAAAAATGCTTTTCCTTTACTTACTGAGATCACCTCCCGTTTTTGGTGGGGTTTGTTTTGCTCAATCTCTAGTGTTATATGTGTCGTGTTTTGTGTACCAGTTTGTCTTTTTTTTTTGCCATGGTGTTGCCAGTTTGTATTTGACTTGTGAAAGTGACTGTTCCTTTAGTATCTTCTGCCTCTTTCTGGGTTTTGTCAAGTGCATGTAGGGATTTTATATTTCATGCATTAATTCACTATATCATTTCTTTTAAGTACAGTGTATTTTTTTTTTAACAGATCCACCACCAAGTCCTAGTGCACGGTTGAAGGAAACAACACCAATATCTATCACTTTTGATGTAAACATTCCAAAAACCTTTAATGGACCACCTGTGCAGGAGATAGAAGTTCGTTACTCCAATGCCCAACCTAGGAAAGAGAGAGTTGGTATGTATAAAGTTAAGATTATTCAAATAGAATTGAATCATATAATTATAGCCTTGTTACATAGGTACACTAATTTCAAAATAAAGAATAGTGAATAAAAAGATATTTATAGGTCAACAGTCTACAACAATAACCATAGTACGCACAGTTTGTCAAGCTTTTAATCACTAGAGTCTAGAAAATTGTGAATAAATTTACAGACTTATCAAAAATCTGTTATCAACACTTAATTCCCTAATGTACAGAACCACATCAAGATATAGCTAAATACAGCCAATGACAAGGCTTCATTTCAGACTGGCACTTTTCCTGAATTAAAACCATTAAATGATGCATAATGAAATTTAGCAAACCAGTAATTTAGTATTAGATGATTTGACTCATGAAAGTTTAATAGGGTTTAGATTTATTGTAATTATACCCCTGCTGACAAAAATTGATTGATTGTTTGATTGGAGTTTAACACCACTTTCAGCACTATTGTGCCATTACCTTAGGAAGTTGACTTTAAGCTATTCTGTTTATAAGTTGACCCCTTTGGTTGTTCTGTTGAGAAGTTGACCCACTACTCATTTGGCTGTTTAGAACTTTTTGATATTGATGCTCCAAAGCATTATATGCATTAGGCTTTTAGAATTTTTCCTCTTCAGCCTATCAAGTGACTATTATTCCACTAACATGTGTTATGAGCGCAAACATCTGTATATGAATATGAAGTACTTATGTAAATTAGTATGTATGTGTGTATTTTAGGTACTATGGATTCAAAGATCGAAATTGTATTGGATAATCTTACACCTGGTACTGCTTACAATATAAAAGTGTATGCTAAGAATGAAGTCGGACTTAGTCCAGAATACAGTTTGCCTACGCAAACTCTCCAAGCAAGTAAGTTGTAAAATATTGATAATAAAACACTTCCTTACCTTTCCTCCCCCAAATTTGTATGACTAATGCTTAAAACCCTCTTCATATCACAAAGCAAGATAATATAGAGAGAAATTATATTCCTTTAATGGAGGCACACCACTAAGTCTTGGCCCCATTGCTTTCTATGTTGAATTTTTCAATTTCAAGCATTTGTATCTCTTTGGTCTTAAGTTCAAATTAAGTCACAGCCATATCTGTATTGTAACAACAAGAACTGGTGAACAAAACTCCTCTGAGACTGTTTTGTAGAAAGCTCTCACCAAATTTCATTTATCAATCATTTTTCCAAAAGACTGAATGCAATATAAATTTTGTGAAATAATACAATTATTGGTTAAAATAAGCTGTAGACAATTTTCTTGTAAGGACAATTGCATATAGAAAAAAAAATCTGTCTGATTTTTCTAGCAATTTCGATACATATGGCCTTTGTTAGTCTTCTATGTTTTTTTAATTTTAGTTCATTTATATGTTTTGGAGTTTAGTGTGACGTCCATTTTCACTGAACTAGTACACATTTTTGTTTAGGGGCCAGCTGAAGCCCGCCTCCGGGTGCAGGATTTTCTCGCTGTGTTGAAGACCCATTGGTGGCCTTCGGTTTGTTTGTGCTCTTTGGTCAGGTTGTTGTCTTTTTGACACATTCCCCATTTCCATTCTCAATTTTATGTATAATATTTTTGAAGTAGTATATAGATGAATATTGCAAAAGAAAAAAATGAGGACCACTAGGTCATTTTTAGCTAGAAAGAGAAAACCCAGTTTTTTAAGCACAGGAAATCAAAACGATTTAGGAATTACTGTCATATAACAATTTATTTATGATAAAAAAGTAAACAAGTCTTCATTTGCCTCAAATTTTTGGCCCTGTAGAATATTTCTCGAGCTTGATTATACACATTGTTCATTTTCCTTTCCATATACTTTCAAATTCATGTAACTGATTTTATGATGTTACAGATTTTTTGTGAATTTTGGTTGCTTATCATTGAAAGTTGCGAAAACAATACGTTGAATTTGGACGCATTATTATCTGCCCTCGCAACTGTATTGTATGCCCTTATCAATGACACTTATAAATATATTACAAACCTGGTTTGATGTCATTTTGACAGCCTCTTAATAAATTATACCATTTGAATTGTACCATGGAAGTTACATACAAGGGAGCCATATCTCTTTTTCAACAGTTTATTTGTTTATAATGACCTAGTTGTAAAACCATGTTTACATTATAAATAAATGTGATTTGTAATTGCTCCTTATTACTATTTTGTAGGAAAGCCTTATCCCATTGTTGTGCGCTCTAAACCATATGGTGATTACCCACTCAAGTTCAATTTACAGTGGAATACTCCAAATAATGGGGGATTTCCCATCTCAAGTGTCTATGTCAAATATGCTCAGGTAATGTCACATTCTCTGTATGTCATGTAAAGAGTACAAATGAAAATAACACTTTAGAAACTCAGTGCGTCCGAAGCTCTTCTCTGGATTTACCTATTTGAATACTCAATACCAAAAATTTGAAAGCCATGGATGTATAAATACTTGGAATTACAATATGACCTGAAGTTACCCCCCCTGAATATGCATGTAACATTTGTTGCCAGACATTGAGCTGTCATCAGTCAAATAAAATATTGATTTTCAACTTGAGCGAGAAATTAAAATTCTATTATCCCTTTCTTGACTGAGATTCATTAAAAAAAAGTACAGAATTTATATAAAGATATTCACAATCTAGAACTTCAATGGCATAAGATACTTATACTCTTGCTATGGTTCAGCAGATCGTTCTAAGATTTCAATATTTAAATGTAGGTCGAAGTATTTCCCAATAAGTCTGCCAGCAATGAATTCCAGAGAAAGGAGTATATATCAGGATGGAATCCACCCATTACAGTCGATGGAGCAGCAACGGCATATGAAATAACGAGTTTGAAACCATCCAGCTATTATGAAGTTGAAGTGACAGCGGTTAACAACAAAGGGACTTCAGATGCACGGGCATTTATATTTGTGACCAGTAAAGGTAAGATCTATAAGTACTATGCTTGATTTTTCAATTCACAATGATCAATCCGGGGCCGAGATTTTCAGTAAGGCAGAAAAAATTTATATGTGCATTTAGGATTTTCCATCGACTCTTAATTTTAAGTTCTGAACCTAATGTTTTTTATTTAGGAGATTTAGGCATTAAATTATTAAATCATTTACACAAAAATCCTGTCATGGTTAAAAATGTAGGTAAAATTTTCACTTCTTTTTATAACTTCATCTTTTTGAGAGAAAAAATTATTTTATTTATTTAAAAAAAAGTTTCATTGGTGTATTCTTATATGATACTGTGTATTTTTAACAGTTTATAACATGCTGAGATATTGCTAACAGATAGATTTTAACAGGGATTGAAAAAAATATACAAACCCTTTTGTGCTAACTTAGAAGTATGTCCAGTGACAACTTCTGTAAGGAATTGGTTGATTTCCCAAACAAATATACAATAATGTTTTCACAATATTTTACATGGAAATAAAGCATGTTCCTTTTGGAAGAAAATGATATGTAATATGCTTGGTTCATATCATTTCCATTACTAGAGTAAATTCTTTTACTAAATGCTGATTTTGGATTCAATAAATGGGAAAACTGGATCCCTGCAGACAAGTCATAATGTCAGCTTGAAATTAAACAAGCATCGCTTTCTTTTTTTATCCGTACCTACAGAAATATTTTATAATTAATCTTGTCTACCTTAGGTACCATATGGAAAGTGTTTTAATTGAAATATTCTCCCTCTGCTGAATGAAATGACAGATTAATGCCCACCAAACACTCAAATAGTGTCTTTGAAACCCAAATATTGTGACAGAATGATAAGAATTGGGATCAAGCCTATTAGGCATGCTTTAAAATTTATTCAAAATATAAAATAAAATCATTTACAGTGGATATATATATAGATTCTTACATTGGTACTAGTGGATTATTGGATTGATCCAATCAAGATAGTTGAATTAGATAATTAAACTATCGAGATTGGATAAATCAGATAATCCATGACTGGAACTATGTTATTATCTGTTTCTCTAATGATTAATGAAAATAATTTGTCATTTTTGATTATTGAAAATCCCCTTTGAGTGCCATCCACATTCCTGATTTCCATGTCCTACAAATATAAAGTTGTCAATTTCTCTAACATCATTCTATTAGCACATTTCAATGCATCCAGAGAGCTGATAAAGGTTATCACCTTTTAACTTAGCCAATCATCTACTGAGATCACCAACAACAACACATAGATTAATTTTTTTTAAACAATGGGTCCAGAAAGGGATAAATTGCCAAAGAATTAGAGAAATGTGTATATATATCCAATTTATACGATTTTATTTTGAACAGTATTCTTTAATAATTTAAATAATATCAGTTTGGGACATGTAAGTATGGTAAAATGAATTGCTGTGTTTTTGTAGAGGATAAAAGGTTTCAAAGGCCTGGTAAGGAATGAAGAATACATGTTATTTTATCAAACGTTTGCATGTATTGGATGGTGACAAAAGGGCATTTCTAAAGGGATTTCAGACATCAGTCAAAACATCGCATAAAAATTAGTATCAGATATGTCATTGAATTTATATCCATTTATTTGGCTTGAATAAAGAAAAATTAAAATATAATTTTTTGAACAGGGTGTTTTTTTTCAGGCTCTCATGACCTGCCTAAATTTATAGCAAAAATAATCCCTCAGTTTTGTTTTTAACACACAAACATCTGAACCCAGTCTGAATGGCCCTTCACAACACCCTCATATACTGCATCTTTATGTTCTACTAAAATTGTTTATCTTCTCTTTAACATATTTATGTATTTCCTGAAGCACACTTATATAAGTGTTATATCATTGGATGTGTCTAGTATAGGCCATCTGTTTCTGTTTTTTCTGAGATGAACATGTGTTTTGTTTCGCCCTGTCAGGTTAAAAATCAGGTTGAAGTTTATTTAGATCGTCATCAATTATTTGGTTCATTTGACAACAGATTTATTGTTGGTCCTTTTAGTTTTATTCTTTGTATTTCTATTAAAAGTCCAGTGGAGTATATTTTTAGAAGTTTTGCATTTGAAAATTGGTCATGACTATTTTGAGAGAGGGTCGATCAACTATGAATACTTAGTATGGAGAGTGAGGAAAACTGAGAATATCGAGCAATTGTGAAAATAATCATATATATTAAGCCAATAGTTGTGAAACTGAGTGATCGAAAGTATTATAAGAATAATAAGTTAATGCAATTTAAGAAATTAAGAAAGATTTAGTGAGAATTAATAGCAAAATTATAAGATTGCAGTGAGCTTCTAATTCATGAATATTCAGTAAGTGGAGCATTTGTAAAATCTAAAATGTTGAGTTAGTGCAGTTGAATGAAATTAAGAGAGAGGAATTATAAATCAAGAAAGTTCAGTGAGTTCAGGAATTCGAGGGGAAAAGGTGATTAGAAAGGGATGATAGTATATAAAAAATATTTTAGCTAAATTTGCATTGCAGTGAAAGGAATATACTGTCAAAGTATTGAGAGCATGATAAAATGTATGAACTTTTGATCATGTGATTTAACTGAAGGAACTGGAACCATTCAGTATCATCTAAAAATGGTGTAGCAATAACAGTACACACTGTTTTACAAATGTTATGTTAGAGAAGTGTTATAGTGAATCTTGTTTAAACTATGAGTTTCTTATGTCCATAGATGTATTTACACTTGTATGCAAATTTGTCCACCATTACTTAAAATCACACAAGTTCCCACAAAATATTGCATCACAATTTTAAAAAATTGACGTCATAAATGAAAAGTGATTGTTGGTTGACGTCAGAAGGTTATTTGGAGATTTATGTTCAATTGGAGACAGAATTCATGTGTACATATATAATCTATGATGTCTTTTCTGATTAAACGCCCATAAACTTCTTGTTTACGAATACTTATATTTATAACACATAATGGCCATGTATGAATTGTCAGTCCTAATTTTCTGAGGAACTACAAATAAGAGCTACTTAAAATTTATTATCAGGCTTCATGTGAACAATTATCTATGATGTGTTTTCAGATTCATCACTTATCAACTTCCTGTTTAGCGTAATACTGATATTTTCCTACACATATTGACCATGCGTGAAATTTTCCTCACATTTTTCTCAAGATCTACAAATCAGAGCACCCTGCCATTTTGGTATCATTATTTATTTGAGCATGTTATAAGGTGGGATAAGTGTTCACATCCATTGCTATTTAGCTTCCCGTTTACCGAATGCTTAAACAGGGGTATCATTAGTGAGCAATAGCTCACAGTTCCAATTTTTTGAGTTTTGGAAAATATCAATCTTTATCAAGTCATTTTTACACAGTTTTGATTATGTTTTTAGCTTTTTAGCCCAGTCATCAGTTTTGAATGTGTCACATCTTTATTCATAGGCTCATTCATTATTTAAGAAGCATATGTTGAACATAGTATTGGTTCTTATGTTTAGACCACACCAATCAAATAACCTTGGATCTTGATACATGATATGGACATTATTTGCCCTGAACAAAATTTGGAGAAAATATTGTTACATGTTACTCAAACTGGAATTTTTTCTATATGATGCACTTGAAAAACATTAGCGGGCCTCAATGAAAATTAGATTAGTTCTAATTGAGTTACCCTCTTTAAATAAAGAATTTATTATGATTATTATTATTATAAGCTTATTCCTCCTAAAATTTTCAGGCTGTTTATCAATTATTTGTTAATATACAGGAATGGAAATATCTTTATTTAAGAAAAAAATATGAAAAAATTATAAATCATAATGTTGTGGTCATTGTTTAAAAGATATATGGAGTTGTTATTCAAGCTTTATGTATTTCCTTGCTTTTCCCCAATAAATTTAGTATTGTTATAAAAAGAATCCCATGCACTGAAACATATATTAACTTGAAGCTTTTTATGCACTTTCTTGTATGATATTTTTCAAGCCTAATTACATAAAGATGTTGTTCTACTCCTCGTATGAAAGTATGATATAACAAACAGCAATAGTTTTCAGTTAGAAGAAAGTATAAAGTATAATGGATGAACCTGAGATTTATGCACCATGAAGGTCTTCTGCAGATTAATTTTTTTTCCTGGGTACCAATTTTTGTGGATTGAGGAAAAAATTGTATTTTCGTGGATATTTGATTTCGTGGTTTTGCCAAAGTCATAAACCTATCAAAAATTTGTAATTCTTGAACATTGAAATTCGTGGTTCTTATTTACCCATGAAATCCAAAAAAAATTGGTATCCAGAGAGTAATAATGAATCAACAGTAAGAAATACACCGTATTGCTATTTAGGCCAATCCAGATAAGTTCTAAAATTACACAACTTTTTCAAAATAGTTGAAGCTATCTGGGGCCCTGTTCAAACAATATATTGTACATAAAAATTTTCATAGAGACATGTTTAAACCATTGTAAACACATCAAACAAAGCATTTATAATGACTTTAATTTGTCTTTTAAAAATTGCTTCATAAACTCTCAAAATTTTAAAATGTTCACTTTCCAAACTTTTCCTCCCTTAGCTCATTACTGATGACCTTTGTGTTTGCGATATTTGACCCAAATGGGAAGTTGTCTAAATGACAATTCCTGAATGGGCTAAATAGCAATAAGGTGTATACATATTTATAAGCAGTAAGCATTTATTGTGTTCGCATGAGGGCTTCCAGATGTCTCTAGCACCTCTTAGGGATCACTTTTGTCGTTTTATGTTGTCATACATGTCACACTTTATACATTATTAAACAACTCCTTGAAAACTTGCACTGATTCTTCCACAGAAAAATAAGTTAAGACTATGGAATAACCCAGGAAGTACACATGTCATATAAGCTTGTGATAAAGTAGATGAATCTTAGACCACATGGTCATCAAGATGAAAAGGGGGCTACTTTACATTGTATCTGTGGAGGGTGATGACCATATTTCCCCTTGTTCTACATCTTGTCTGAAATAAATTCTATTAATGAACCCAAGGCTAATGTGAAGAGTCTCATTTAAATATATATATATAATTAAATATATTGGCTTTCTATTAAATGTGCATTTTTGAATACTTACCATTTGATATGATATGTGTAGATAGATATTTAGACTTAACATCTGGTTTGAATAGAGACCAATTATCAAGAAATGCTATCAGACTTTTGATTTCATACAGGAAAAAAATAATAGGAGAGAAACATCTGTTTACAGCTATTTTATGACAGGATTTTTTTTTTTTTAATTTTTTAATTTATGATAGGCATTTATAATAACTAATTTTACAGTTTGGTTTGAATAGAGAGTTTTAATACATTTTTGTAACTGTTTTCAGTAATGTGTGTATGAAATTCTCTATCAAAGTTGTTTGAAAGGGGAACTATTATTCAATAATATGATCATTTCTTTGATGATAATTGGTGCCTTACAATCTAGACATTTTATTTTTAATGCTTCCCGTTTATGTTGTCTGCAGTGTAATAATATTTATTTTGCTTTTTGTGACTTTACTTTTTTCTGCTTTTTTCAGTTCAAAGCTCTGGTTATGTTGGATTTGCACAAGCCCTGCTCCCGTCTAAACTTGTACTCACCATGGCAACTGTTCTCTGGGCATGCTTAGGAATACTCTTGTAACCTTCATGACAGAAGAGTTCTGAAAGACTCTTTATCTTTCTTCCTTCTCAACTGAAGAATTCCATGCAGACATTATAGTGCCATAATGAATGAAATCTGAAAACGAATACTATGCATGTTTCATGCAGCAGACATTATATACACCACCATGCATGTTCTACATACATATGGATGTTGTTTGCATATTATATTCATTATCAACAATTTGTTAGCTTGCATTGATAATAGCATACTTTTATTGAAAATTATATTATATTGATTGCAAGGGAACGTAAAACTTCTTGCATAAAGATATGACTGTACTAAATGTATATATACTTATAATCTTGAAATATTCACTACAATTTTATTTTTAATAATTGATGTAACATCCGTGAAAATATAACTTCCATGGAATTAAATCATTCAAGCCAAGTTTTATGATCAGACACCTAAAAAATGGCACAAAAATTTTCCGGTTTATATATTGTGATTCTTTGTCTTATTGTCTCTTGATGTTATGTACCAGTAAATAAGTATATAAACACCTGACTTATTCAGATGTAAATACAATATGGCTGGTATGAAAGTGAAAGTACAAATTGGTTTAACATATGTTTGAATAGCCAGAATATTGTCAGTATATGACTTCAGTCAGTCTCCACTATCCACTGGTGTTTTTTTAATTCATAAAACAGCTGTAGATAGTGAGATTAATATCTCAGTTAAACTGAATTTTTTTATAACCAGAACTTCATTCAACATTTTTTCTGCTGATTATTGTATTTTGCCATTGATTAAAATCTACTTAAAGATTGTATGTGTAAAATTTTGTGAAGATTGTTATTTTCCATTAATTCATGATTTTCATAGGATAATAATTATAATACTCAGTTTTCATGTATTTTCTTCATAGTGAATTTTCCTTTTCTACAATGCATAATTAATCAAACATTTACAACCATTTGGAAAGCTGGACTCCTAAAGAAAGCTATTTAAAAGAGAGTTTGAATATATTTCACTGTGAGTTTACTTGCCTAGTGACTAATTGGGGAAAAATCACTAAATTGACAACTTTTTGCATTTTGCTGTTTCAGAATTTAAAGGCATTCTGGGTAATGAATTCAGAAGCAGGCATCAAAATGTTGTGATTGGTCAGCAACATTCTAAACATTGATATTCAACCAATAGAAAACATTACCCATAATTCCTTAGATTCTGGAAGGCACATTGCATAATTGTCATGTTGTAAACAGAGCTGTATATTTTTGGTTAAAGTGCTGTTGATTCTTAAGTGCAATATTGTGTAAATTTTGTATCATTTTGTAAATCTTTTGTATATAATCACATAGATTTAGAACTGTTGTACCTCATAGATGTTGTATTGCTTCAAGAGGCGAATATATAAAATTTAATTAGTAGATGAGAATTTGTTAATGAAAGGCAGAGTTTTCATTAACTATTAAGATGATGGCATATACACATCTTTATTCTGATATTTTACAAATATTTCATAAGTTCAAACATAATTTATGCCATTATTATAATAATACCGTAGTTACATGTTTGCCAATTCTACTTGATAGGTAAAAGCTTCCATGGAGTAATGAATGGAGTTAAAAACTTTAAAATCTCTTGTCCAAAACAAGTATGATTTTTTCACAGACTGTACAAAATGTTCTTATGGTAACAGTTAGGAGTCTAAGTCTGTATTAAAGTCACTGTACATATATGAGGAAATAAAAATAAGGAAAAAAATTATCAAAATCTAAGGCCTGTTTAATACAAAGATTCTCATTATTTTTTTTCAAAATCATTTCTAGTCATTTAAATCTTAATTATTAATCAATTTTATGCACTATTATACTTATCTCAGGTTTCTTGGATGCAAGCTCATAGATTTTAACTAGTTAAAAGCTTAAATCTAATCATTTTTTGCAGTGTAGCTATTTCATTTTAAGCTATGCTCAAGTATTAGTAATGAAAATATTCAGTTGATATTTCACTCAGGTAACCTGGTTGCATAAAATTTAAAACCAGCTCTGTAATGTAAACAGTTTCCCTTTTCAGTAGTATCATTCTGTTGCTGGTGTATGTCAGATCATGAATTAAGTAACAAGTCAATTTCACTCTTCAATTGTCATTCCTTTTGACATTATTCCCTCTTTTAAATATAAAATTTTGTAAGAGTAAGTTCCCTTTGGGTAGGTAGTTTTTATTTGCATAAAGTTAAAGGTTCTGAAAACTTTAATTTTAATTTAAAATTCAACTTCATTTCCTTTTTATGAAGGTTAAAGGACACCTACCCACAAGAAAGATAACTCTGAAACAAGCAAAGGGAAATAACTCTGGAAATTGGAAAAGAGGGAATGATCTAAATAACATTCCTTTAAATGAATATTTAAGTACATTACATAGAAAATGAATAAGATAAACAACAGAAATGGATATTAGAAGTGTGTCCTTATTGCTATAATACAAATGTGAAAGACTTTTGTATGGGTAAACTTAGGGAAAAATAAGCTTCCAGAAAAAGCCATTAAATTTTGTGTCATTTATGTATAAGAATTATTGTGAAAATTTCTTAGCATAATGTATATATTTATTGTATAGTATTTTGTATAATTTATTTAAATGCGGCAATCAAATAGAAGATAGTTTGCTTTACTTTTATAGTCCCTTTTGAACATTTATACCTGAGCTATTTATGTAAACTTTTTGCATCATTTGTTGTCCATCATTCCTGAGTCAATTTTTATTTCTACAGCTTCACTTGGTGTCCGTCAGCATTCCCCATTCACCTATTATTTCAATAGCCATCATTGAATTGAAAAAATTTATGACTGCAAAATTTTAAAACCTTCATTTATTCCTAATCTCTTGAATAGGATTCATTTGAAAATAACTACTTAGTGTTAATAACCCTGCACACGGCAGGTAAATTCAACTCCAATTGACAAGGATTGTCAGTTTTCCACCAATAAAAACTGACCACCAATATAGCCGATAGCCAATTGTGCTAAAAGTGGTGTTAAATACTAACAATCAATCAATCATTGTGTTAATATTTTATTGATGGTGTTATGAAGAGTGCACTTTACTATTCCCAATCAACGTAAATTTGATTTGCACATAAACAATGCAAGACTCTGCAATAGAGTTTTTTTTGTCTTCATTTTTAGTCAAATTGAAACAATTAAAAGATAATAAACAATATTATGACTATCATTCTTTGAATGAGCCAATGCAGCAGGGGAGCAATACACTCTTTATCATGTAGTTTTAGTTTTCAGATATTTTTATATTGTTAGTGTATTGTTTTTGATTTATTTCTTGCAGTTGTGTATTACAACTGAACTTTATATTGTTTACACTTGTTAAGTACTTTCCTTGACCAAAGGAATATGTCAGAGCATTAATGAATAAAGAATAACTATACATTGTCTCAAAATATGAAATTTACTTGTACAAGGCTTAGAAACAGATATAATGTGAGGGGCTTTCCTGAGCATTTCTGTGTTGTTTCGAGTGTAGAACAAATAAAATTAATGTAACAAAATGTTTTATTTACTACAATAATATAATATATGTTCTCTATTGGAATTTTGAAACAAAAATAAAATTAATGTTTTGAGACAATATATGGTGAATTGTTTTCTGCAACTCTTCCAAATGAAAAAGCTTTGTAAGAAATCACCATTTTGAATTTTAACAGGAAAACACAAATCATCCGTGCTCTACATCCTTTCTTGTCATAATTAAAACTCTACGAAAACACTTATCATCGCCAATGTTTATACAGTCAATTCATTTTGACTGCGTAAATAGCACAGTTGCAGTATAAAAGGATATTGCTGTCACAGTGTTAATGTTAATAGGTTGATGTCAGTGTCACAGTGTTAATGTTAATAGGTTGATGTCAGTGTCACAGTGTTAATAGAAGGTAAAGATTGAGTGTTATTGATCAAAGGTCAATGTTGGTGTTAATGAAAAAAGGTCAAATAAATGTACAGTGTGATAACCAAGGTTGATAAAACATTGTTTAAATTAAGAAAAGTTGTCACACTGTTAATTTCTAAATATTGATATCACAGTGGTAATGAATAAAGGTCAACACCTAAGTGTTAATAACAAAAATTTGGTCATAGTGTTAATGACTAAAGGTCAACACCAAAGCATTAATAACAAAAATTTGGTCATAGTGTTAATGACTTAAGGTCAATACCAAAGCGTTGATTAAAAAAAAAAATGGTCATAGTGTTAATGACTAAAGGTTGACATCAAAGTATTGTTGACTCACGGTTCACATTTCAATGTTGACAAATAAAAGTAGACTCTAAAGTTTAAGTTAATGTTGCCACTGTGTTAAATTTCCAAATCTAGATGCCAGTGTAAATAAATAAAGTTTTACAACTTAGCGTTTAAGTTGAAGACATAGTGTTATTATAGATCATACTTGTTCCACTTCTACCGAATATATGGTTACGTGATTCGAATCCTCATTGAAGGTGTGCTCTAAAAGGTTCTTTTTTTTACATAAGATTTATCTCCACATATATGTTGTATCACATATTACTAAAGTATTTGAAATGCTCATAGTATATAAAAGCTACTCTTAGATGTTCTAGCTTTAAAGATTGTGTATTAGTAGCTAGATGTGTATTGTGGACATCAGTGTATTATAGGGCTATGACACATGCTAGAGGGAGACTGTATTTAGAAATAATCATAATTCTTGTATCGTAATTGTAGTAAAAGTGGAATAAAAAAATTAATCAGTCAGTAAAATGCTTTAAAAATATTTTTAGATTTTAAAAGTGTTGATCTTATCAACATGATCCAATTTTTTTTCAAAAAAGAGATATATTGTTTTGAATTTGTCAGCTCAGTTTGAAACACATTTTGAAATTTTGTAATGAGTAAAGAATTGTTTATTTCTTTTAAAAAAATCAAGAAAATGAAATGATAGGAAACTTATTCGTCAACTTTTTTTTTTTTTTTTATATTATTAAACAAAATACTCCAGACCAAAAGGTTTGATAGCCATTCATTGATATAATTTGTTTGAATTAAACTAGAAAATGCAGTCATATTATGGTATGGGTGTGTCATTGCAGTTTATTTTTAAAAGGCCTGTTTTAAAGATAAATTTATTGTTGTTTAACTTACGAATAAAGCTTGTGGTATTTTTCAGTAAGATAGCAACATATTTACGCACAAAAAATATCAAAGACATCTGGAGGTATGCATTCCTATGATTAATGGTTTTATACAGTATAAATTTCCTCTTAAAATAAAAATGATGGATCTTGGAATATTTCTTGTTTCACATTTTCTTTTAATCCAAAAGTGATAGCCTTTTTTTCAAGATTTATATTATTGAGCCCTTTGTGCTTTTTTCAAGGAATCATCAATCAGTCAATCTATATAACACTTTTAGTATCGGTCAGATATTTCAATATAGATCATATTATTGCCAGAAAGGGACCAATGTCTGAAATATGAAAAAAAAATAAAAAAATCTTCATCTTGTCGAGTATCAAGATAAATATGAAATGTACTTTAATGGTCACTTAGCAATTTTTTAATTGACAGGCTCAATGGAAAATATTGTCAACTGGCTTCAGTCGTATCATAATGTGTCAGGCATAGCCAATAACTTGGTGTTCAAAACATTTGAGATAAGTGTTACTTGTAACACATATAACAAGAATAGATATAACCCTGATCATTGTGCTTTAATTGTATATGCATAAAGTCATCTGTTTTTATTTTGTTATTTAATTAATGTCAGTGTGAGAAAGATTAATTGTAGTTCTTAGATGTTCTGAATACATGTATGTGTCTTGATTTGAAATACAGTATTTTACACTTGTGAAAAAAATAAAAAGCTGAAGATACAGCTGTTCAAATTATGCATTGTTGTTTATTTTTGTTTACTAAAGCAGCAAAACAATATATATAATGAGTTGGGGAAATTCAACATTTGAAAATTTCAATTACCATGGGTGTCTTCATTGTCTCTGGGCAAAAAAAACAAAAACAAAACTGGAATAAACTTTATACTAATTGCCTAATTTAGCAGACGTTCCATCTTTATGTTATGTGCACACTTTTGAAAAGGTTACCCAAAATGCTTCAGTAGTTAAAACAATGAATTGTGGATGTTGTGTATATGCAATAAGGGAAAAAGGACAGAGTGATTGAATGCTGTAAATAAAACAATATGACTGGTGAAAAACTGCTACTATGATACATGGTTATGATTAACATGGAATTAGTGCAGTCCCTCTTTTGTAAAAAGGTAGCTAGGGTATTTTCTGTCATGGTTGAAATTTTTGTTGATGAATTGACTTTTCATTCATAAGAGTGTTATTTTTAATTTCATAAAATCCTGAATTATGAAAAATTGAAATGAAAAAAGAATCCAACAGTTATCCGTGAAGATAACATTAGATGATAAGGTCAATTATGTATATTATCCAAAATTGAGATGAGTAATCAGCTCAAAATATTTCAAAATTTATTATTTTATTTTAAAATACACAAAGAAAATTGTGTAGGAATTGAAAACACATGTAAGAGAACAGACAGATAAGAGATTTGTTGCAAGTTTCCAAAATCAAATGAAAAGTAAAGATTAGTAAATGTATGATAGAAGATATCAGATGAATGTATGATAGAAGCATAGTAAGTGTATGATAGAAGATTGGTAAATATAAGATAGAAGACTGGTAAATATATGATAGAAGATTGGTAAATGTAAGATAGAAGATTGGTAAATGTAAGATAGAAGATTGGTAAATGTAAGATAGAAGACTGGTAAATATATGATAGAAGATTGGTAAATGTAAGATAGAAGATTGGTAAATGTAAGATAGAAGATTGGTAAATGTAAGATAGAAGACTGGTAAATATATGACAGAAGATTGGTAAATGTAAGATAGAAGATTGGTAAATGTATGGAAAAGGTTGATAAGTGTGAGACAAAAGATTGGTAAATTTATGATAAAAGATTGGTAAATGTAAGATAGAAGATTGGTAAGTGTATGACAGAAGATATATAAATGTATGATAGAACATTAGTATATGTATGATAGAAGATTAGTATATGTATGATAGAAGATGATCATCATTTGTCTTCTGAAAATAATGGAATGCATCCAGGTCATTGTAGTTTGCAAGAAAAACAAAATTAGATGAATTTATGTCTAGCTTCTGTTTGAAAAAATTTAAATACTAATCGTGATGATTGAGCAAAAGATTTCAAACAGTGATGCATGCAAAGGAAAATGTGTGTTTTTCACCATTAGGGTTTCAAAAATTGTGTTCAATGGGTTAAAACCCAAACTTCTTTAAGTTAAAATCTCAAAATTTATTGAGACAAAAATACAAAATGAAGTGGTAGTATAGGTTTTAATACGCCCGTCAAATTTTTGACGGGACGTATTATGGTATACAAATGTCCGGCGTCCGTCCGTCTGTCTGTCCGTCTGTCCGTCTGTCTGTCCGGCGTAAACATGTCGCACCGTAACTTGAGAATGACTTATCCAAATTTCATGAAACTTAACATAGTTGTTTCTTATGATGGTCAAACGATCTGTATACTTTTTGGTGAAAATTAGATTAAAACTTTTTGAGTTACGGGACTTAGTAACTAAAACAGGTGTGTGTTTTTTTTTCACATGTCGCGCCGTATCTCAAAAACAATTTATGATTATTGCTTTAAACTTTACACACTTCTTATTTATATTAATCTTAAGATCTGTATACTTTTTGGTGATGATTCAAAATTTCATTTTAGAGATATTGAGTATTTTGTTAAAAAAGGGGGAGGGGTTTTTCACATGTCGCACCGTATCTCCAAAACAGTTTATGATTATTGCTCAAAACTTTACACACTTCTTAGTTATATTAACCTTAAGATCTGTATACTTTTTGGTGGTGTTTCAAAATTTTATTTTTGAGTTATTGAGTATTTGTAAAAAAAGGGGGAGGTGTTTTTCACATGTCGCGCTGTATCTCAAAAACAATTTATGATTATTGCTTTAAACTTTACACACTTCTTATTTATATTAATCTTAAGATCTGTATACTTTTTGGTGATGATTCAAAATTTCATTTTAGAGATATTGAGTATTTTGTTAAAAAAGGGGGAGGGGTTTTTCACATGTCGCGCCATATCTCCAAAACAGTTTATGATTATTGCTCAAAACTTTACACACTTCTTAGTTATATTAACCTTAAGATCTGTATACTTTTTGGTGGTGTTTCAAAATTTTATTTTTGAGTTATTGAGTATTTTGTAAAAAAAGGGGGAGGTGTTTTTCACATGTCGCGCTGTATCTCAAAAACGATTTATGATTATTGCTTAAAATTTTACACACTTCTTAGTTATATTAATCTAAAGATCTGAATACTTTTTGGTTTTGATTCAAAATTTTATTTTTGAGATATTGATTTTTTTTTTTTAAAGGGGGGGTTTTCACATGTCACGCTGTATCTCAAAAACGATTTATGATTATTGCTTAAAATTTACACACTTCTTAGTTATATTAATCTAAAGATCTGGATACTTTTTGGTTTTGATTCAAAATTTTATTTTAGAGATATTGAGTTTTTTGTAAAAAAAAAAAGGGGGGTTTTCGCATGTCACGCCGTATGTCAGAAACTATTTATGCTTATTGCATAAAAATTCACACACAAGACGACGGGCGTATCATGCGCTCATGGCGCAGCTGTTTATTAAAGTTAAGTGAAGGTGTGAATGTGATTTGAGTATTTGGATACTGAAGTGATAGAAAAATTGAGAGAGAGATAAGAACTCAGATTTTTGTTTTGTGGTTTTGGTATGCCTAGAAATCAAAGGCTTCATAACAGCTAACACATTTCTGTTGAGATGGCTATTTGAGGTGGCTTTTGTTTTTTCTCCATATCAGGTCATGGGTTGATGACTTTATGAGGTATTTGTCACTGTCTTCAGATCAGGCCATTAGTTCATGGATATTTGAGGTGTTCAGTAATGTCTTTCTATCAGTACATCGGTTCATGGCTATTTTGGGTATTTGTCATTGTCTATAGATCAGGCCATGACATTGTCTATAGATCAGGCCATGAGTGCATGGATATTTGAGGTGTTCCTCATTGTTTAGATCTGGTTATTGGTTCACATTTTAATCATGGATTATATTTATATATTAATAAGCATCAAATCATCATTTTGTGATTTTTTTCCTGTTACTTTTCTTCAGAAGAACCAACTACAGAAGCACCAGTAGAAGAAATAACTTCAAAACCAAGCAAAAAATCCCAAGACACTAATTCTTCTGGTAGATCCATCTAACCACTTTATGAAGAGTTTTGTATTGAAAGTTCTGTATGTAAAATGACTTGGGTAAAGTGACTTGTTTTGGTTTTGTCCTGAAATTTTTTACGGAGCAAGAAGAAAATAACGTTTTGGTAATACCTTCTTGAAAAACCTATTTTTTCATCATTATTGAAGAAGTAAACATTTTGAAACTTTCTAAACATTTCATTTAGATAGGGTAGTAAAGAATCAGAAACGGATTTAGAGAAGGCCCAGGGCTTACGGTCTTAAAACGTTCGAGTACGATTATTGTACTCAGACTCAGAAATCAACCAATCAAATTACTAGATTTGGTGTTTTAAGCACGAATTTCATACTCCCGAGTACTGAGTAAAGTTTTATGACCGCAAGGCCTGCCCCTCCCTTATGGAGTCTCATATCTGATTTTACAAGTATCACTCTAAATTTTAGTCTGCTAGGAGCAGGGGGGTTTCCAACCCAGGATAAAGGGGGGGTTCAACTATATGTCCCCATTCAAATGCATTGATCGTCAAAAAAAAGGGAGGGGTTCCAACCCCCAGAACCCCCCTGGATCCTCCACTGTAAGAGCCACCCACCCCTTTTCTTGGAGGGAACCTATAAAAGTCCAGGACCTCACACCCTTTACATTTATGCTGTAAACAAGAACTGTGACTTTCTTCAGGAGGGCTTTTCACTTTATTCTGAAATTCATATGGTCCTAAACCTTTCAAATTTGAATTATTTTTGAACCCCTGTAGAGTTAAAAATTCGAAACAAATCATAAGATTTAAATATGCTAAAACTCTGGTCAATATTGAATTTTTTTAAATCCTGAAACAACATTTGATACTTAACACCTTATTGTACAATCAAAGTTTTAATATAAAAATAAGCAGATGTGCTAATTGGTGGCCCATGAAACAAACTATCCACCAGAGACCAAAGGCAGATCATTTCCAAATAGAATTCTGATTCTTTAGAAACTTAGAAATAACAATAAAATTAGCCAATGAAAAATGAGAATTGTGATCATGTGATCTTAGTTTTGGGAGAGAAAAAAAATAGTACAATAACAGTTGATGCTATTCTAAAATGAACACAGAATTGTAAAAATTTCTTCATATTGAACAAGAGTGACTCTTTCAACAAAATGCTGGAAAACTAGAGAGAGTCCAAAATGTGCAACACCAAGGTAAGATGACCCCAATCTGATGAATATAAAATGTTTGCTTTTTTATATAAAACTATGGCAAAATTCAAATAAGAAAGTGGCTTAAAAATCTTTTTTAGCATGAAATTCGACAATGATATAATTGGTATTATCTTCAAGTTTCCTGTACAGTACATTTCTTTAGGGAACTACCATCTAACTTCAAAGGGGGGTTTATGGTTTTTTCCTAAAAAAATATTCTGATCCCCAATTTGATGAAAAAAAATATTATGGTCAAGCAGATGACCAAAAAAAATATTCTGAATCCAGATTTCCACCATACCGTATAGTGTTAAATTTTGAAAAAAATAATTTGATTGATAGCGTCGAAAAACTAAAAAAAAAATATCTGACTCTGACAAAAAACCATAACCCCGCTCTCCCACCTTTGAAGTTAAATGGTTGCTCCCTTATATCAGTCGGAACAATATTATGGGTCTACAATGTACTAAGTAACAGCATATTAACACATTCAAGTTATCAGTTATTGGTGTTGGTATACCATTGATCAATAAAAGGAGGTTTGTCAATGGGGCAATACACCAAAGACGTCTAGATATGATAAAAAGAGGAGATGAGGAATAAAAATAAGACCATTACTAAATTGTCTCCCTTTTGTAACATCATTAAGGGAGATAACTAATGCTTCTAATTTTATAAATTGAGAATCTAAAATAATCTCTGCTCTGCTTTGTGAATGTCAAAAAGTGAAAATATTTATCAAGTCACTTTACATCAGAACTTCAAAAGAACTCTGACATGGGAAAACATTTCTGTTATGACCTAATTGCTTACCATATTTTTATTGCGCTGCCAGCAAGATAAAAAAAATGCTGATTGTTAGCTTTTCTTAGCATAGGGTCAGGTTATCAAAAGCATACTTGCAGTTATATTTTATTTATGGCTTTTGCTTGAAAAGTGATTAAATGCAAGCACTCTGTATAATGATTCATGCATGGAAACAATGCAACTAAAATTGTCTGCTTATAAAAATGTTGATTATTAATACATAATATCATAGGAAGGGCATTGATCATATCCATATTTTCTTGCAATTTTTGTGAATTTTAAGTTTTTGTGTTTGTAAGACCTATTTGAAAAAAATGTTAGCTGTATAAAACTAAATTACTTTCTTTGAAACAAAGTAAAACTATGGAAATTAACCTGAATTAAATCAATTTGCCTTCATAATTAAAAGTTTATTATCTTTTACATATAACAATCTAAATTAAGCAAGACAATATGGATATGAAATGATTGTTTTTGAAAAATTGTTTTAAATCAATTTTAATTTAACATAGTAAGAAAACATTAATAATTTTTTTTTTTTAAATTTACCTTGCATTGCATTTCCATTCTTGTATTCCTATATACTTCACTAAGGCTTTTTCATTGGTCCATGGCTTATACAGCTGGTTGAGGTTTCTGAAAGTTTTTTGGCCTGATTCGGTTGGCTTTTTGTATTGCATTCCCCAACTGCATGTTTTGATGGTTAAAGAAGTTTAAAGAATAAGTTGTGTCAAGGAAATTGTATTGTCTTTTCTTTTTCTTTGCATGTTGTATCCTTCACTGACACCTGCTCTTTAATATTGTGCACTTTTTTATGATGTTTCTTGTTTTTATTATTATTTACAGTAGTCAATAGTTTTGATGCACGTTCTAATGAATCTGTCTATAAATCAAAATATAAGATTTAGTCCTTCATTTAACATGGCAAAAAAAGTCATGCAATATATTTTCCATAACTTGTAAGATTTTGTACTTTTGTCTTTATTTGAATTTTATGATGAATTTTATGAAACAATCATATTTCTTCTTAAGATATTTGTTAAATTAAAAAAAAGGATAGAAACATTGTTAGAATTGTTGAGAGGTAGTTGAGAAACTCCCTAAAAATAGAAAATGCATTTAGATAATATGTTTCTTTGAAATAAGTTTCAATTTTGGTCAAATACTTTACTTGAAGCCCCACACATAAACAATTCATACATGAAAAACAATTTTCCAATTTTATATTAGAGATCTAGTAATGTTTCACAAATATCAAACTTTTGATATCAAAAAAAGAAAAAATCAATTATTCCTGATCGTTTAAAATGTTGATGAAATATATAGTTTAAAAAAGCTTTACTTAGCCTTAGTGAATATTGTTATACTAATATGTCTCATGATGCATTTTTCAATATTTTCTTAAGTAAACTTTTGCATCGTTCTTTTATTTGTTGTAAAGTAAATGTTTGTTTATTCTAGATATTTTGATGTTGTGCATATTTTGTGCATGTTGTCTGCATGAATGTTTGCAGAATAACAGGGTAAGTCACATGTAACTGTTATGTTCGTAAAATGTGAAGACGATGATTTCATGGAATCAACTTTATTATATGTTTTCAGGGTTACAAGTAAGTCTGTTTTGTCTATTTGATTATGGTCTTATCAGTAGATGAGACTAAAGAATAACTTTTCTGGCAAAAGCAACTAATTTTAAAAATCAAGTATAAAGAAGATTCTAATGGGGAAATTAAAATCCACAATGAAAATAAAAACAAACAGCACATGGCCAAATGAAAAACGTTGAACAAACAAAAGAAAAACATTGCACATAAAAACAAAGAAAAAAGATAAACAGACAACAACAGTCCACAAAACAAATGAAAAAAAGAAAGTACTAAATATTTAGCAACTAGAACCCCACTAAAACCCTGTTTTTAACTCAAGTTCTGCAGAAAAATGTAAAAGAAACAGTTCCTACTCCACAAGTAGCACCTGTTGTGGTCACTGAATTACCTTCATTTATGATCCCTAATTTCAGCTAGGTTAGCAAAAATTTTAAGGCTAATTTTCATAATTTCAAGGATTAAATTAACTTCTGACACAAGCTGTTCATTGTCCTTTGACCTTGTAGTTTTCAGAATCAGGTCTGAACCTCAGTAACTACACTAGTAGGTGAACAATATTTGATTTGTTTATTGGTTGTGAAGGTTATTGTCTAACATATTTCAAAAGGCCTTGACCTCATTTTCACTGTTCATCGCCAGATTATGTTTTTAAGGATTAAGTGTTTCTTCGTAAGTACAATTAATAAGTCCGATAATGGTATTTTGATTGGTTGTTAGATTATATATTCATCTTTTACATTTCTATATGACCTTGACCTTGTTTTTAATCTTAATAGTTATAAGTGCATCTGACATATATGTCATATGACCATGACCTCATTTTATCTCTACACGCTAAGTTTTCAGAATTACATTTTTGTTCAGTAATATACATGATAGATCATGTGCATTGATTGTTTGAAGGAAATTCCTTCTGAAATAGGTTATATTGACCTATAATGGTTTATTTACAAATTGTGACTTGGATGGAGAGTTGTCTCATTGGCACTCATACCACATCTTCTTATATCTTTTGATCCAATTTTTTCACCATAGTGATCAAATTGGGTCTGAAGATTGGACATGTTTCTCAATAACTATGGTGACAGGGTAAAAAAATCTGATATGTGAATTTATTACAAACTCTAATTGTCTGTCTGACATATGATATGTCTTGTGGCCTTGACCCCATTTTGATGTTTATATGGTCAGGTTAAGTTTTTCAGGCTTTTATTTGTTCTTCATCAACCATACAGGTCAACAATAACTGGAATGTAGATTTGCTTTATTGAGTAAGTGTTTATGGCCTGGATCTCATTTTTATGCTTCAGTGGTTAGCGTTGAGGCCAACTTGAGCGTAAAGTGTTGATTTAGGTCTGAATCTTAGAAATAAACATGATAGATGGAAATATTTTCTATGTGAATTTATTAATGTCCATTACATTTGCACTTAACAGATTTCACATGACCTTGACTTCAGTTTTAGAGTTTTCCAACCAAAGGTCAGTGTTTCCCTCAGGGCACTCCGGCTTCTTCCACCAATATAAACTGACCACCACGAAATAGCACAATAGTGTTGAAAGTGGTGTTAAAACACCAATCAATCAATTAATCAATAAATCAGTTTCGTAGTTTATTATAAAAATAAGGAGAGTTGCAGCATTAAAAAATGAGCAAAACCAATACCATTTAGTAAGCTTATAAGAGAGCTACCATTTGATTTTTATGGGGGGGCTAGGATGAAATTTGAAAAAAATAGGCAGGACAGGAGTTTTGAGTAAAAAAAAAAGGCAGGATGAAACACTTGCATGATGTACAAAAAGTCAATGTTTAACATGGACAAAAATATAGTCAAGAAATATGTTAATACATTTATTTTCAATTAGTGAAGCTTTTAATCCTTAGTCTAGATCATCAAAAGAAATAAAGATTGAAATAGATTTAAAGTTGCTCTATTTTACTAGGATTTGGCAAAAATATTACATAAGAGCAAATACTGGTATTTTACTGATTGTAAATGAGGGAAAAACAACTAAATCATCTTTAATTAAATTAGAATTGCATATACTTCAGTTCATCTGAGTTCAAAAGTAATATGTTGGCTTTTTGCTTCTACATGAATTTACAAAAATCATAATGTAAAGGATAAGTTTTGATATTTTTGAAAACTATGAAATTGTTTTATGATGTCACATAAGATAATTGCATTCAACTGAAAATTGTGCTTAACTTATTTAATTTTAAAAATTTATTGTTGTTTGAATTGTAGAAATATTCTAATCATTATAATCAACCGTTAATATTTGCCTATTTTATTTATAGCCCAGCAAGTCCCACTTGGAATCGTGATTGCAATCATTATTATCGTGGTTATCATCTTGTTTATTGTGATTGATGTCACATGTTACTACAAAAGGAAGTGTGGGGTCTTCATGTGTATCAAAGAAAAGGTTGGCAGAACTGGTTCCATGGAAACCAGGAGTAAGGAGAAGATAATTGAAGAAGGAGATGCAGATGGGTAAGCTCGAGCTCAGGCTCCATAGTAAAAAATTAGTACTTTGAAGTTTACATTACTTTTACGTACAGTTAGACTTAGACGTATTTACACTTATGTACAGGCAAATTTGCTTTTAAGAATTGATGCCTTTTGTAATTAAATAGGGTTTAAAAGCGTTGATTGTGCACACATTTTCAGTATGCAAAATGTGCTTCAGTCAACACTTTTACACACCAATACAATAACAAAATAAGCATTCAATTCATAAATACAAATTTGTCTGTCATTACTTAAAATAACATAAGTTCCCAGAAAATTTTGCATCACAATTTAAAAAATTTGACGTCATATTTAAAAAGGGGTTGTTGTATCATGTCAGAAGGTTATACAGTGCAAGATCTAGAGTAATTCTGAGACAATTCAGCCAAATACCAAAAAATGTAAATATGTCTTTCAGAACTTCTTGCATCAGTCTATGTTAGTTCATACAAGGGTCAAAGTTTGTTTTTTTATTTTATTTGTATCTTTATCAAACAGTATTATTTTAGCATCCCTTGAAAATTAAAATCAGACTGCATTTATTATGAATTCCTTGTTACAATGCAAATATTTTTCAGCTAAAGAGTGCAGCTCTTTTACCATTTTTAACTTTATTATATTACATAATTTGAATTATGAAATTAGATACTTTTTTTTTATTTTTTGGGAAAAAATCTTATGAAAATATGAGTAGAAATGTTGGCCATTTTTAAAAAAATATTAGTAATATACATCTCTCATTTGCAATATTTATCTCCAGTGATAAAAGAAATGTTTTAAAAGCATAATAGGACAAATCCGATATACCAACACGTGAATATTTGATTTTAAAATAGTAATTAAGAGCAATTCTATACATTTATTTAGTACACATAGCCACAAGGCCATTTACGGTCTTTCCATTTTAAAGTTTTCCACAAATCTTCTCTTCTGAAATCACTTGAAACAACTTAGTCTGAATAATTCCTACAGTATTAAGTTATTTCAAATGATTCTTTTAAATAATCTATATGACCATCATGTCTATAAAAATTAAACACCAATTTTACTTTTATCCCTGCAGCTAAACTATCAATAAAGGAATTAGTCTTACTCAGAAATATCAAATGACCCTTGATATTTCACCAATATGGCCCCTGTTACTATATAATAACTTCCCTCTCTAAAATCTGATGACATTATTGCTTTGGCCATTTTTGATTGATTTATACAAGTATGCTCAGCTAAGATGTTTAGGTCATTTTCAAAGGACAAAGTTCACTTTTGCCAAAATATGAAAATTCAACTTTATGAAAAGGCCCCAATTTGATGCTTAAATTGATCTATTTTAAAAGGCTTTGATCCGAGGTCTACCAAATCTCATCATTAGTGTACATTAAAGGCTCTAAAATAAGCACATTTTGAAGATATTGTCAAAACACAATGATTTTGTACATTTTTTTGCTAAAAGCTTCAGAAAAAAAACCATGACCGCAAATTATGATAAAAAGTTTTCTGTAACTAAAAGTAAGAAAGGTTTAATATTGAATCCCTATACACAGCAATTTTCTTGATAAAAAATTTACCATGCAAAAAATTATTACAAATTATGGAAATATTATACTATAAATGACATTACAGCATAAATAATGCTTAATTTAGGGGTTATAACAATATAACTTGGTAATACATAATGTGATGAGCCATTAGGAAGTCATTTTGTATTGATAGTTATATCACAACTATTTATGTGTTATTTGTTGTATTTTGGCAACATTGAAAAAAAAATCTCACACTATTTAAAGCTTTGTGAACTTACTCTTTTACTTCCTAGAAAGTTATACTGGTTACACCTAGAAAGTTATATTGGTTACACCCAGAAAGTTATATTGGTTACACCTAGAAAGTTATATTGGTTACACCTAGAAAGTTATATTGGTTACACCTAGCAAGTTAAACTGGTTACACCAAGTTATACTGGTTACACCTAGAAAGTTATATTGGTTACACCTAGAAAGTTATATTGGTTACACCTAGAAAGTTATATTGGTAACACATAGCAAGTTATATTGGTTACACCTAGAAAGTTATATTGGTAACACCTAGAAAGTTATATTGGTAACACCTAGCAAGTTATATTGGTTACACCTAGAAAGTTATATTGGTAACACGTAGCAAGTTATATTGGTTATACCTAGAAAGTTATATTGGTTACACCTAGAAAGTTATATTGGTAACACCTAGCAAGTTATATTGGTTACACCTAGAAAGTTATATTGGTAACACGTAGCAAGTTATATTGGTTACACCTAGAAAGTTATATTGGTTACACCTAGAAAGTTATACTGGTTACACCTAGAAAGTTATATTGGTTACACCTAGCAAGTTATATTGGTTAAACCTAGAAAATTATATTGGTTACAACTAGAAAGTAATACTGGTTACACCTAGAAAGTTATATTGGTTACACCTAGCAAGTTATATTGGTAACACCTAGAAAGTTATATTGGTAACACGTAGCAAGTTATATTGGTTACACCTTGAAAGTTATATTGGTAACACCTAGCAAGTTATATTGGTAACACGTAGCAAGTTATATTGGTTACACCTTGATAGTTATATTGGTAACACCTAGCAAGTTATATTGGTTACACCTAGCAAGTTATATTGGTTACACCTAGAAAGTTATATTGGTAACATGTGGCAAGTTATATTGGTTACACCTAGAAAGTTATATTGGTTACACCTAGAAAGTTATATTGGTTACACCTAGCAAGTTATATTGGTAACACCTAGCAAGTTATATTGGTAACCTAGCAAGTTATATTGGTTACACCTAGAAAGTTATATTGGTTACACCTAGAAAGTTATACTGGTTACACCTAGAAAGTTATATTGGTTACACCTAGAAAGTTATATTGGTTACACCTAGAAAGTAATATTGGTTACACCTAGAAAGTTATATTGGTTACATTATGAGTAAAATTTTAGAAAGGACGTTAAGGGATAATAAACATAACATTTTCCTTGTGTTGCAGTTCAAACCAAGCTTTACCTGAACAGGGAGGTTTGGTCTTTAAAATCATATTCCCTTTTTTTTTGTATGGGAAGTGACTCTTGCAAATGGGAGATATATATATGATAATTATTGGAAGGTGAAGATAAGTTGCAGATAATTGCAAAATAAGTGTTTGGCTATAGACAGAAGACTTAATTTTTTATTTTCTCTCAGAAATACTTTTTAAAATATTAATTATCTCAGGAAAACTGTAAAATCACAAGAACAGAACGAAAATGGAGTGAAATTACAAGACTTAAATAAGGAAGAAAAGTCCAATAGCAATCCTGATGAAAGTCAGGAAAAGAAAAAGAATGAACCAGTCAGTATAAATAAGGAAGTTAATGAAAAGGATGAAGTGAAAAAAAATGGCAGTGCAACATCAAATTTGTCTTCTGAACCCAAAGTTAAGTTATCAGAGAAACCTCTTGATGACAAACAAGAGAAAGAAAAATCTGAACAGAAAAAAGAATCTGCTAATTCAAAGCAAGAAGAACTAACTCAAAAAGATCAGAAACAGAAAGACAAAACGAAATCAGATCAAACTGAAAAGGGTGTTAAAAGTTCAAATATCCCACCTCAATCAAAAACTACCAATCAGAAGCTAGAAAGCAGCCAACAGCAGGTTGGGATAAACAAGGGACCAGTCATTTCAACAGTAATAAATGGTGGGCCAAAAAATACTTCAGACCAAAAACCAGTTGAACCGAAACAACAAAAACCAGTTGAAACAAAGCAGCAGAAACCAGTTGAACCAAAGCAACAGAAACCAGTTGAACCAAAGCAACAGAAACCAGTTGAACCAAAACAACAGAAACCAGTTGAACCAAAGCAAAAGAATACAGATGAACCAAAGGAAACTGTTGAAGTAAAGAAAAAGACAGTCAAAAAGCAGTTAGACTTCAAGGATGATGAGTAAGCATTCACAGAATGCTGCAAATGTTCACAACTAACTGCATGTGATTGAAGATATGCAAAATGCTGCATTCAAACAGCAGCAACTCATTATATATAAACACCCTGGTGTTCCTTGTTGGAGATGCATTTTTTTATTAAGCATCCATGTTAATGGTGGAGGAAACAGTTTTTGCCTGAATGAGGGAACGAGTAACTGCATGTGACTGACAAGAGATTGAGAGTACTGAAATCTAAACAACAGCTTCTTATTTTTATTGTCCTTGTACCTTGTTGAGTTATGTTTCTTTGAAGCATTCCTATGAATGGTGGCGGAAATTAACAAATTTTACAGAATTTGCCAAATATTTACTACTCACTGCATGAAATTGGAAAAAAAATATAAAAAAAGTTATAGATTCTAAGAAAAAGTAATCATGCAAAGCACCTTGTAGACATGTTATCTATTCCTGCTTATGATGGAGGAAAAGATTTATTGACAGAATACTTTTTGTTTATTATCAAATGTATATTGGCATGTAATACCCAGAATAATGCAGTTTTGAGCATGGCTTACAAATGATGTTGAGCTGGTGCATCATGTTATTTTTCTAACATAATAAGGAGTAAAAGCATATTATTAAAGATTATTTTGGTCCCCTGTTCTCTTTGTACAATTGATCAGTTTTTTATTATTCATAATTGATTGACAGATTTTTTTATGAATCAAGTTATATTGATCTTGTGAACCAAGTGAAATTGAGCTTTGAAATTAAGTGAAGTTGATTTAATTGAGAATTGAAATGGGGAATGTGTCAAAGAAACAACAACCTGACCAAAGAGCAGAAAACAGCCTAAGGTCACCAATGGGTCTTCAATGCAGTGAGAAAATCTTGCACCCGGAGGTGGGCCATGATATACTCAAGGGGGATGAAAGTTGGGCTAACAAACATACAAACTAACATATGATCCCTCTTACTACGGGAGCATGATACCCTCAGGGACTGATAGTTCCAACCCAGTGGTTGTAAAAAACAGATAAATTGATTAACATGCATTCATGTGTTTCTTGAATATTCATCAGGTATGCTCATGACTGAAAGTTCATAAAGCAAAAAGCTGCAACTCAATGATTTTTGCCACATTTGCATTTTAAAATTTTGTTTGTTGTGTAGTCAGTGCTGTTAAAAGCCTACAATTAAAAAAAAATGTGTATCTCTTTGTTTTTAAAAACAAAGTCAGTGAACTTTTGTATATGTAATTTTTTATGTTTAATCTTTTCTGATGACTTTGAAATTGAAAAAATCACTCTGCCTTTACCAGACCTGCCACCTTTCCTGATTTATGGGGGATTTCCCCCATGGGAAGTGTTGGTCAGACTTTAAATTTTCCATAGAATAGACCAAATACCTAAAAAAACGATTTCAAGGGTCAAAAGTGGCATTTAGGCACATACGTACTTATTCAAAACCAAAATAAAAGTAAATTAGATTAAAACACTTATGAAATTGACATGTTTAAGAGATGCATTATATGGCAAGCTGTTTTACTATTTATTCTAACTTCAAGATATCTTATAAACTTTTTAAGATATCTCATATAGTTCATAAGATATCTCATAATCTCATATAGTTTATAAGATATGTTATAGAGTTAATAAGATATCTCATATAATTTATAATATATCTCATATAATTTATAAGATATCTCATATTATTTATAAGATATCTCATATTATTTATAAGATATCTCATATAATTTTCTTTATGCAATATATTATAAATCATATGAGATATCTTATATGAAAAATATTTATAAGATATCTTATAAGCTATATTATATACTTTATGAGATATCTTGTATATTATATGAGATATCTTATACAATATATAAGATATCTTATATAATCTAGTTTCTATAAGATATCTTATAAACTTTATAAGATATCTTATATACTTTATAATATATCTAATAAAGAAAATTATATGAAATATCTTATAAATGATATAAGATATCTCATATCTATATGAGATATCTTATAAATTATATGAGATATCTTATATAGTATATGAGATATCTAAAATTAATTATAAGATATCTCATATAGTCTTATAAAGTAAATAAGATATGTTTAAAGTTTATGAAATATTTTATGAAAACTAGATTATATAAGATATCTTATATATTATATCAGATATCTTTAAGATATAATAAATAGTAAAAAAGCTTACCATAGCATTAGGTCATCTTGTGCTTAAAATCATCCATGGAGATTTTGAGCTGTTGGCAAGTATGTGATTGCTTTAGTTGTAAATGCATTTATGTTGTCTGTAATACAAAATTTATTGAGTTTTAAGTGCTCAACTGATTTATTATGAAGGGTTTCTACTGATGGAGACCACAGGGAACTGTCTTCAGGACTCACTTTATTTGTTACTGTAATCTACCCATACCATATATACAGTATTTTATCTGTTACAGGGAAAAGAAGGTACCATTACTGGCTGATAACAAAGACACTGAAGGTTCTGATGCTGATCAGGAAATAGGAGAGTAAGTACTGTAAATACAAATATTAGATACTGTAAATGCAGAAATTTTAAGCAATGTTTCTTTTATTGCGAAAACTGCATTGAGATAGGTGTCGTAAAATAAGGCCCCACATTTTGAATTTTGATAGCATAATCAAGGCCATAACTAGGCATATTATTTTAGTGAGGCAGAACTGATAGCCGAGCGGAACGAGCCAAAAAAAATTTTGGCAGGGGGTCTGGGATAGATGGTGTAAAATCCTGCATTCTGGGCATTTACAGAGAGCTTGACATCGTTTTTATTTTTGGACACTTTTTATATATTTTTCATATTTTAAGACATGTACTAACACCAAATTTTTAACAACTTTATCTAAATTTATATGTCAGATAAACATCCAAATATCAATTTGAGTCTGCCGCCAGAACACAGAACAAACATCGACTCAGTAGCAATTGCTATTCAAATTGGAGTTTGCCAATTTTTCTATGGCCGGTTTCGTCAAATCGTTTCAGAATATTTGGTCTGCTGACATCCTTATCGCGATGAACATGGAGCATGGCAAGACTCCACAGTTTCTTGCCACTCATGCATGCTCTTTCCCAAGTTTTCCGTCGTCTCAGGGCAGAAAAAGAACGTTCACAGCAAACACTCGTCACTGATATTTTAGATCGAGAGTCGAATAATGAGGGGGGTAGGAGGGGGTCAGATCCCGAAATCCCATATTAAAAGACACGAAATTCCGTAGTCCCGAATTAGAAAACACGAAATACCTTTTAAAAGGTCCTACTGTCCCTCAATAATGTCAAAATTGGATTACGGGATGTTCTTAAAAATTTTAAGGTAAAAGAAACATGGATAAAAACTAATCCATGCAGGTTTCATATTATTTATAGTTTGTTTATCTGTAAAGAGAACGAATAAAGTTGGGGAAATGAATACGCAGACAGGAATGCTCCCGTGCGGGTGCCCCAGTACTTGATTTGTCAGTCTATTTATAGTTTTTGGATTAGTTCCATTGAAAATACATTCAATACTCGAACTCTTAACACCTGTTGTAATCATAAACAACATCAGTTAGTTTACTAGAACTATTCCTTCCTCACCTTCAGTATCGCTTTTCCTTTTTCTGCAAGAGCCTGTTTTTAAACCAGAGATCGGATCCATGATGATTACCGTTACTAGGTTAATGTAATCGAGAAACCCGGTGAAATGCTGAGTTATATCTGGGAAGAACAATTTAAAAGGAACGATGTGACTCAAGTTATAGAAGAAATTAAGGTTGAGACAGAAAAAACAAATGACTATATTTCGTTTTTAATTACCATAAACAAATACACCAAAAAAAAAATTCAGTGTCGAAATTTTAGTGAGGCAATTGCCTCACTTGCCTCAATGGTAGTTACGGCCTTGATGATTTGTACACAGCAATTCCTGGAATCACTATAATTAATCTTGCATTTGTCTCAACTCTCTAACAATTGCAATAATAAATGCACACAATAATTTCTGAATTTACAGAAGCTGAGATTAAAAGTCCTAAATCTAGCATCCATTTATGTTTGTAATCAGTTGTCTGGCATATTTAACATTTATTACATTACAAGGCTTTTCTGAACTTGTGTTTTCAACAGGAAAAGTCATATGGTTTTTTTTAATGAAAGCCATGGCAATGACATAGTTTGCTGTAATTGTATAAATACATTTGACTTTGTAAAGAAAACTTTACTTTATGTAGTCTAAGTGAAATGATTGTTTATAATTTACAGTAAATTTTGTGATCTTTTTACAAATCAATTGCATGTATGGTTTCTGAACGGCAACTGAAAGTTAAGACCCTTGTTTACTAATAAAGTTCTTGGATAGTTTGGAAAAATTTATATGAAGAACAGCAATAAATAAGTTGTTCAATATTTATGTATCAACACTTCTCCATTTAAAAAATAAAATCTGTTTCCCCTTGTGATGTCTTAAGCTTTGATTATCACTATAAACAGAAAACCAGTTTTCTCCAGATAACATTTTGTTCATTAAGGAAAAAGCTTGCATGATGACAGTACCTTTTCCAACATTGAACTGAAGGTTGATTGGTCATTATGCTGCACTTATGATAGTAGGGGGTATTATGTTTTTTTGAGTTTGTGTGTTTCAATTATTTGTCCGTATCAGGTTAAACTTTTGGTTTAAACAAGGAATTATTTGAATCTGGAATAATTTTGAATTCTGGAAAATTGATAAGAAATGTATGATGAAAACTAACCCAACTAAATAGGGTTAGTCATGCACTCATGGCTAAGGTTAATTTTACTTTCACTGATATTTCAGTATGAACTAACTAAACTCAAATCGTACTTTCTTGTTTATTTGACCTGTTGATACTAATTGTATTGCTTTTTTGTTTATTTAATGTTATTCAGGGTTATATCTGGTCTATATACCAGCTTTGATAAGTGTTTGGTACAAAATGTATAACTATAAATTTTCACTTCGTACTATGAACATCAAAATTATTTATTTTGTAAAAATATTTCCTTTCTCTATTGGTACTGTACACGTATACCTAACAACTAAATTATTTTCATTTACCTGTGTTTAAAGTTATTGCAAATGGCTGATATTTTTGTTCGAGCATATTGTTTTTCTTTAATTGTTTAACATTTCTTACCGATATAACATGTTACTTTTATTATTCTTCCCTTAGTTTATTTATTTTGTATTTACATTGTGTCATAGGTCAAATTTATTTGTTCAGTGTATTTTTAATGGTGTTAATATGTCCTTTGATTGAGTTAAGCTATTTCAGTTGATATTTTATAGTGTGTCTTTCTATGTTGTGATGTTACACTATTGTTTCAGAAAAAGGGTGAAGGTTTGGTACCATTAAAACGTTTAAACCCGCTGCATTTGTTTGCACCTGTCCTAAGTCAGGAATCTGATGTTCAGTAGTTGTCGTTTGTTGATGTGGTTCATAAGTGTTTCTCGTTTCTCGTTTTTTATATAGATTAGACCGTTGGTTTTCCCGTTTGAATGGTTTTACACTAGTAATTTTTTTGGGCCCTTTATAGCTTACTGTTCGGTGTGAGCCAAGGCTCCGTGTTGAAGACCGTACTGTGACCTATAATGGTTTACTTTTATAAATTTTGACTTGGATGGAGAGTTGTCTCATTGGCACTCATACCACATCTTCTTATATCTATTAACCCTATTTAGTTGGGTTAGTTTTTGTCATACATTTTTTAGCAATTTTCCAGAATTAAAAATCGTTCCAGATTTAAATAATTCCTTGTTTTTAAATAGTTGACCATGAAGTTGGAGTCACATCTTAGGGGTCACATCTTAGGGGTCACATCTTAGTACAAATGTTCATTATGATATGGACTTCTTTTAAATATATGCCAAAGTATGGTTTGGTCCAGTTTTTCCTGTTAATAGACATGGAAATACTATTATACAACTGTGCATGTTGTCCTATAGACACAAATTCTTGTTTTAAATTTCAAATGATTATTTTCATATTCATTCTCTTTGTATAATGGATTGACAACACAATATATAAAAATACCAATTATTTATACAATTTAAAAAAAAACAAACCTTTTTTATTGTACAAATGTATTGAAAATACACCTATAAAAATCTTCCAACTACACTATTTATAATATTAAACATGTTTTTTTTTTAACCAGAACTGCACCAAGTGATGAGAAAGAACCAGAAGATAAAGAAGAAAAACCTATTACACCAGTAAAAGAGGTAAATAAATCTTAAACATCAAATAATGCATTAGGGGGGGTCTCATTGGGGGGTTCTGATCCCCGTATCCCGCTTACACTATGTACGTAAGCAATTTTCTCATTTTTTTGTAATTTCCTGTGTCCCGCTAGACTTCATTTCCTGTTTTCACGGCACAATAATTTGACTTTCACGTTTCACGCTTACAAAAAATCGGCAATCCCGCGTCACGCTTAGACCCCAATGGGACCCACAATAGGGTTTCAAACTTCTCGCATTTAGTGAAAATCAGCAAAAACTGCCAAAATAATTTGAGATCTTGTCATTAATATTAGATATGAGCCAAGTATTTAGAAAGATTTTTTGCTAAAAGAGATATTTTAGAAATACATATATGTTAATGTTGATGTAAAAAAAATCCTTAAGGGTAAGGCCTTGCTGATATTTATGTTTTCTAAAGTGTATGTCTGGAATAGTCATTTTTGGTCAAAAATGTCATTTACAACATTTTGATAACATAGGGACATCTGACCTATCTGCATTAAAGTGTATAGATTATACAAACTTGTTTATTTATCAATAGAATTAAGATACTTTTGAATGGCTTGATAAATCTTACTATTTTTGCAATCTCAGTGGCCAAATAATGGCTCTTATCATAATTCCTCCTTTCGTATGTCAAACAAACCACACCAACCACTGACACTCCTCTGGGAATATAGGTGTACAAACAAAGACTCACTCACATCCAACTCCTCTAAGAAAATAAATGTACAAACAAAGACTCACATCCAACTCCCCTGATAAAAAAATGTACAAACAAAGTCTCACATCCAACTCCCATGAGAAAATAAATGTACAAAGACTCACATCCAACTCCCCTGAGAAAATAAATGTACAAACAAAGACTCACATCCAACTCCCCTGAGAAAATAAATGTACAAATAAAGACTCACATCCAACTCCCATGAGAAAATAAATGTACAAAGACTCACATCCAACTCCCCTGAGAAAATAAATGTACAAACAAAGACTCACATCCAACTCCCTTGAGAAAATAAATGTACAAACAAAGACTCACATCCAACTCCCCTGAGAAAATAAATGTACAAACAAAGACTCACATCCAACTCCCCTGAGACCCTCATCCAGACACACATATATTATTAAAAATAAAGCACACAATAAAATCTGCACAGTCCAGCTACCAACAGGATAACCACTAAATTGAACAAGGAAATAAAAGACAAAATATAGATAAAGGCAACAGTAGTATACCGCTATTCAAAATTCATAAATCGAATGAGAAAAAAACAAATCTGGGTTACAAACTAAAACTGAGGGAAACACATCAAATATAAGAGGAGAACAACGACACAACAGAAACACAACACAAAAATGCAACACACACAGAAACGAACTATAATATAATAATGGCTATTTTCCTGACTTGGTACGGGACATTTTAAGAAAAAATGGTGGGTTGAACCTGGTTTTGTGGCTAGCCAAACCTCACACTTTTATGGCAATGTTAAATATAACACTAAAATGACACCATTACATGACATGAATACAATACAACATTACGGACAGAGAATTACGCAAATAAACAATACAATATAGTGCATTTGGACAACGAAACAACAGCAACACTGAAGTGAACAAACAACAAACGACAATGCAACACACACAGAAACAAAATAAACGATAACAATTGCCATTTTCCTGACTTAGTACAGGACATTAAAAAATGGTGGGTTGAACCTGGTTTTGTGGCTAGCCAAACCTCCCGCTTTTATGGCAATGTTAAATATAACATTAAAATGACAAGATTACATGACAGGACTACAATACAAATAAATGGGAGAACATACAGTACAGAGACACACACAAATAATAGCTATCAAAAGGTACCAGGCTTATAATTTAATACGCCAGACGCGCGTTTCGTCTACATAAGACCCATCAGTGACGCTCAGATCAAAAAAGTTTGAAAGCCAAAACAAGTACAAAGTTGAAGAGTATTGAGGACCAAAAGTTCCAAAAAGTAAACATTGTTCAAAGGTGAATATCTAAGAGTATACAGTTTGTGTTAATAATATTCTAGTTATAGTAAATAAAATTGAGAATGGAAATGGGGAATGTGTCAAAGAGACAACAACCCGACCCTAGAGCAGACAACAGCCGAAGGCCACCAATGGGTCTTCAATGCATCGAGAAACTCCCGCACTCGGAGGCGTCCTTCAGCTGGCCCCTAAACAAATATGTATACTAGTTCAGTGATAATGGACGTCATACAGTACATTCAAGATATTTAACAAAGACTGAGATGGCCAAAAATAAGAATGAATGCTGAAGAACTTTGAAATGATTAGACTAAGGTTGTTCAATTTAAACTCCACCAATGGCCTCACTATGAGGAAAAAAATGTCTCTTTTCAGAACATTGTGATAAATACATGTACGATGTTTTTGAGGCTACAAGTTGCGATTAACTGGAAATAACATGAATATGATGAAACTTCGTAGTATATTGCAATGGCATAATTATTATCATTCTTGGATTTCTATTGTCTTCTCTCAAAAGTTTCTGAAAGATTTTACTGCTAAAATTTATTTTGAATTTTGTGAATACCTAATTGTGAATTTCAGGTTGAGGAGGCAGAAGAGGCCAAACCAGAGGACCAAGATAAACCAGCCTCACCTAAAGAAGAAACAAAGGAAGTAACAGACGGAGGCAAAGAATAATGAAAAGAAATGGAATTGATTATTTACTTTTACAATTTCCATATAAACATTTTAATACAAAAATGATGTGTGTGATTAAGGAGAGAACACTGAAATTTAGATACAGAAAGATAAAAAACAATATACATGTTACATGAAGTGTACGCCTGATGAGGTGTTTGTATTTTCATTAGATTTTAATACAATAATTGTATTGTATTGTATTTTCAAACATTGTTGGTGTATTTGATACAATTTTAATGAATAGTGTTGTTAAAATTACTTAACTTCCTAAGAAAAATAAATTTTCAATTTTCTTGCCTTATTTGAACTTTGAATTTTATCATTCCAAATTATATTACTTGTTGCAGGATTAGGCATTTTTTTTAAATGATAGATATTTATTTTTTAAATCTAATGGATTTTTCAATTGCGAACACTGAAATTAGAATTATAGCATTTAAAACTAAACTTTATTATAAAAATATAAAAAGAGAAGGGATGATTTTTTTTATTTTCCAGTTGCATGCCACTCTTTTTTTTTTTTGGAAGAATGCAAATATTTTTTTATTGAATGAATTTTTTAAACATATCTGCATTTGAGCACGAAAATTTGAGAGGTGATGAAAGGTTAAGGAGCATATAGAAATAGGGAAACACTCCATGTTTCAAAAGAAACAGCTGTTGAGATAGACTTCCACTTGCAGTTATTTATTATTAGCTTGAATTTAGCACCATAAAAACTGTTTTGTTCATAGGATTTTTAACATAATGCAGGTTTGAATACAGGTAGTTTTATTACTGATATTAATTTTAAAAACTGTAATTATATGTTCAATTATAACTTAGTTAAACTTGTATATTTTTTTTTAGATTTACCAAAAATAGTTATTAAGTTAGTAGTAATATTTCGTTATTAGGTCAAATTTTGTGTATATATTTGTTTATATTTTTTTAACCTCAGGATCTAAACTATTCAATTCAATATTCAGGTGTTTGCCATTTCACATGTTTCTGTTAGGATAGTCGTCTAGAACTGTAAATACTCGCTGAGATATTTTAAAGATTTATTTGTACAGTTCAACAAGTGCTGAAAGTTTCCGTAATACCGGTACTCTTTTATTTGTTATTGATTTTTAAAAATTATATAGTAGAAATTTTAACCAAAGAAAAATGTAATTTTATGCAAAAATTAGAAAACTATACATAAAATAACATTCCAAACAATGAAAAACATTTGAAAGTTGTCTTCTTTAATGAAATTACAAAGGGATTATGATACATAGCCTCCTTTAGTCCCAAAGAAATAAGGAGAGAATTTCAATTATCTCCCCTTGAAATTATCTCCCCTTGGTTTCCTTATTAAGGAAGATAACTTGCTATGTATCTCATGCCAATTTTGGATTGAAAAGTTTGTTAGTTCTGAGAAACCTCTGTTTATTTTGAAACCATTTATTTGAATCTTATTAGTTTATTATAATAACATGATATATACATATGTTTTGAATGAATAACTTAAATATAGTACATTTAAACAATTTTTCCTTTAAAATCAGCTATTGAAATTTCATCTGACATTGTTTCCATTATAACAAAAACCCTTCTTCTTATATAAATATTTGTGCAATTGATAAAATCTATTTAGCTGGTTAAAGTCAAATTGTTCTGGTGAAGCAAATTAGATTTTGTCTGCTAACAATTTTACATCGCTTCTGTAATGATGTGAATAAATTTTATCAGTTACAAGTAAAAATAGATATACATGTAGTTTGATGATATTCACATCAAAGAATTTTCTCAAAATAATTTTCAGTCAGTTAAATAACTAGCATGTAGGATTTGTTGTAATATTAGGGACCAAGTTCCTGTGTTGTAAGTTAAGGCTTATATGTCGAACGATGTTGTCCAGTTTTGATATATGTGTAATATGCACATTATTTAATACTAATACTACATCATTAAATTATAAAATCATCTCATGTATTATCAGTTAGACTCATGCTCATAACGTTAAGTTTCTTTTTTGTAAATGGTATGATTGTAGTTGATACATTTGATGTATATTTCTGTTGTCATGAATGTTAAAAGATAAAAAGTTCTTTTATTCGGGCATTGATATTACTTGCTTTATGACATCTAAATTCTTTCTGTATCTGTTTTCACAAAAAATCTTGCGAGGAAAAGTTATGATCAAATCAGTATAGTTGGCATTAGGTTTTTTTTGGCGTGAAATAAGCTACAGAAAGTTATGTATATGGATTTATTTAAATATATTATATATCATCTTTCATCAGGTCAAAATTAATTGCTGTATCTCTGAGAATTGCTTCTTAAAAAGGATGAAATTCATTCAACTAATATACGGTATTGTTTGGATAAGAAAAATTATATATCATCTATAAAAATATTTTAATATAAAAATCATTGTAATTTGCACCATGAAAGGGCAAAAGTTGTTGATTTAAATATTAAATATCGTTACACTCTTGATATTGTAAAATAAAATTCATAAAATATTTATAGATATTGTTAGTATCCTGTAATATTGAATGGTTTTAAAAGCAGGGTAATTAATTGATAGTTGCTGACCACTGACCAGTGTCCATCATTAATCAAGCATTAACAGTTTTAGTTACTTTTATAGCATTGTTTATTACTTTATATACATTTATACCTCATATTCAAAACATATTATATTACAAGTCACACCCTAGTTATCAATAAAATTAGTAAATGGCATAAGAGAAAATAAAGGCTTGGTTTTAATCTCAGACTAACTACGAGCATGCCATGAACATCATTCTCTAACTGTTAACCAAATAATTTTCAGAAATGATTTATTTTTTCAGGAATTTCTTGAGTAGAAAAATTATGTGAATATAAATCATAGCTAATATGTAAAATTTGGATCTCTCCTCATATAGTTACATGCAGAAATTTTTCAAATTGTGAATATAAATCACTGCAAGTAGGCTTGAAAGCCCTAAATGCAAAATAAAGTATCTAGGAAAATAAGATGGATTACAGAATATTAAGAGGCCAGTAAATTATGATATATATGATTGTATTGTTCACTCTGGAAAAGTCATTTTGAAAACATGAAAGTATCATACTGTTCAGCAGAGTGTTATGTGTAGATGGGAATATTGACCAGTATAGACTAGATATGTAATAGCTATGAGTTTAGAAAGGATTTTTTGTCAAGAATCAGTAGGCTTATTCATAAGGTAGATAATTATAGTCTGATTTGTTATAGTAAAATGCAGAACAACCTTTAAAAACTATAGATTTTGCTAAATAGTAATCCATGTTGTTTAAATAAAAAATTCTAGAGTTGACCAAATCAAGAATTAATGAAAGATTTTATTGATAACTAAATGTGACTGTTTATTTATGCTTTTGTAATATACTCATGCACTTATTGATAAAGTTTTTTTCTTCATGTATATATGTTAAATGTTAATTACAAAAGCTTTGAATATTAGCAAATGTAATATTATTGAAAGCTTTCTGAAATTTTAGGTTTATACTGATTTTTTATTAGGACAATGTTCATAAGTTAATATCCAATTTTAGCCATAATCTTGATCTCCAACAAGGGTCAAGAACTTTCTCACCAATTGCTTTTATATATATATATATATATATAAAATAGGCCTTCAATTCTTTAGCAGTATGAAATGATACCTTTATCAATGATAAGGTGTTTTTTCTTCTTTGTCAACTAAATGACTGTAGATTCAATAATTTTTGTGAATACCAGTTTGCATTGTTTGAGATAACCTTTATTTTGTGGGTATTTAACATCATAGTCATACTTTGTCGCTATCAAAAAATAATTTAAAACAATAAGTAAATTCATTGTTTATATGAACTCACAATTCCCACAATGAAAATAGGTACCGTATTCAATAGAATGATTACTCCACTGTCAGTATAGAGAAGATTCAAGGGAACAAGACTCATATATTTACACAGTATTTGCCATGTCGAAAAAGGAATTGAAGAAAAAAAGAATAACTATATTCATAAAAGTTTTTGAAAAGGAATAAAAATGCAGTTTTCAAAATTCTATTGAATGAAATGTAGATTCCTAAAATCAGAGATATCAAGTTGTGAGTTTCTTCCACACAATTGTGCCATAGTTTTTTAACAACACAATTTTGTAAATTTTATGGTAGAGAGTTTTTGTTGTTATTTGTATTTACCTTATGGTAACTTTTTTTCCAGTAGACTAAACCATATGAAAATTCAACACAATAATCCTTCATACAGAATTCAAATTCACAAAAATGATTTTGCTTCCATCCCACACGATTGTTTATTTATTTTACAAATAAATAAATAAATAGAAAGTTAGCATGAGAATTAATTTGTCTGTAATATGGTAAAGTGTTTCAATGATAAAAGGAATTCGTATGTCAACCATGAAATTTCATCATTATAAATAATGGGCAATTTTCCACTGTTTTTTTTTCACTGAACTGATTATGTGTTGAATTTTGGATGTTTATTTTTAGACTCTTATATTATTAAACGAAAAAGTAATTTTCTTTTTATTATGACAATCTGTACTTAGGTTACTCAAAATTCAGGGGAGATAATTACCTGATTTTAATAGAATATCATAAATAGCAAAATTTCTTAAAACTTTGGTTTGATTTTGTTAGCTACATCCTCTTTTTATCACTGAATTATCTCCCCTGAAAACTCTGCTCAAACTTTTGAATATGCATATTTACCTGTATATAGGTAAGTTAATATATTACATAAAAAATATTTGACACAATTCAACTTTTAATAACAAAAATACAGTATTAATCATTGGTTGCTGTTTCAGCTTGCTATATGTTATATAATAAACCATTTGTTGGCTTTGTGATGATACAATATTGGTTGTGACAAATTTTTTTGTAGATAGTCCCTTCCTACCCTTAAATTCAGTATGTTGCTATAATTTCGTGGTAAAACCCAAAAAATTCATATGTTTCATACAAAACCACATTTTAAAATATTATCCCCAAAACTTTCATCAGATTTTGATGAAATTTTTACCAATCAATGTATAAATATATGTAACTTTAGTGTTGTATTTAGTATTTATTTAATATCTAGTAGAAATAAGAAATCAAAACTTATTTTTTAACATTCAAATATAACTGATGATAATTTGAATAACCAACAAAATAATTGAAACAAATATATACAGAGCAAATATTAAAAAAACAACCTGGCAAAGAGATAAAATACAATGATAAATGTAAGACATTTTGGATTCATTAATTTTCATGGGAGACAACTTTTGTGGTTTAATAAAATACTTGAATAATAACACCAAATAAAAATGCATTTGTTGAATACTTGAATTAGTGGTTTACATCTATCCACAAATCCACAAAAACTATATACCATAAATAATAATGAATTCACAGTACAAACTAAGTCATTTTATGAGTACAAATTTTATTGAGGTCCTCATCGGGGTCCTGTTAATTACATAATCTCAAATATTTGCAAAGTAATCATATAAATATTCTTCTTTACCTAGATTGAGGTAAAACCTGGTTCTTAAAAAAATCTTGTCATGCTTTTTGATGAGATAATGATAAAATGTTTTGTGATTTAATCATATAATCTTAATTTAACATGCTTGGGTCGAATCATGAAGTTAAAAAGAGTCAAGCAGATTCTAAATTTTAGAATAGTTGCTTTAATAATGCTTTTGAAAAATGCTTTAACAGTGTTTTTGAATAATTGAATAAATAGTGCTTTTGAATAATTGAATAAATAGTGCTTTTGCATAATTGAATAAATAGTGCTTTTGAATAATTAGATAAGTAGTGCTTTTGAACAACAACCTTTCAATAGTGCTTTGAATAAATGTTCTTAATAGTGTTTTAAAATAATTGCTTTTAATAGTGTTTTTCAATAAAAGCTTTTAATAAGTGATTTTCAATGATTAATTGTGCTAACTTGTAAATTACAGTTACAAAAAAAAAAATAATTAAAAGTTTACAATATGGTCTAGAAAATATTGTGGTTTTGTATGAAATTAAATGGGAATCTGGTTTTAGTACCAAATTATAGCTACATACTGTCCCGTTATAATTCAGTTAAAACATTCCATGTTTATGGTAGAATGACCACAGGTTTAAATAAATTTTTCCCACTTCCCCTTTTTTCTTGGGTTCTTACTACAGCTTACAGCTACCATAAAAAATAACCGTGAATAAGCTTTACTAGGAGAAATTTTACAAATGCTCATCTGGAAATTGTCTGGATTAAAAAATACAGTATATTGTAGATATTGTAAGTGGTTTTATAAAACAGTTGGAAATGGAAAACTGACTATGTGAGAAAAATAAGTCAATTATCTACCTTTGATTAAGCTATATAAGGGATATGTAAAATAGTCTTCACAGGAACCAAAGGGAGATAATTTAAGTTGACTCCCTTAGTTAACTTATTCAAGGGACATAATTGACTCATCTTTCATTAGGTACTTCATTTCATTTCAATTTCTCAGAAGCATAAAATGCCCATTATATTTTGTTAGGGTTGGCACCCAGAAAATTTATATATAGATTAGTGGTGCTTTTGTGCATACAGTAGCTTTGTATTATTTCTATTTTATGAATCACATTTTTGTAAGTGTTGTGTGTAATAAAAAACTATTTTAAAACTTCATTGTTCTCAATTATGCTCTAATAGTTATGTCTCTTTGTTAATACATTGTTCTTGCTAGGGAAAGAGTTAAGTGTTTTAAAAATGTTGTGGATCACGATTGCAAAATGTGAACCTATTTTAAAATGCTTGAAAGTTTTGTTCACACTCTCCAATTTCTCATAGAGAGAAGACCAATACCAAAGGGACATTCAAACTCATAAGTCAAAGAAACAAGAGTGCACACGCTGAAATGTCTCGCCTGCTTTACTACCATTGATGTTATGTTGATAGTCCTATCCTGCAATCAGCTAACTATTGTACAAATAACAGGTACACAAATAAAATTTTATAAAGTCTCCTGTTACCCCGCTTCCATGTTGAGCAAGCGGTAATGTGGATATTTCTTTTTGCGTACCAGTTCATTTTGGGGTCCTCTTCGCGGTCCGCGTTTAAACTATGTCGATTTCTTTGAAAAATTACAGACAATGATTTAGATTTTAACAACTAAAGTTTCAAGTGTTGGGTGTAAATTTCAGGATAAAAACAATATATGTACATTGTTGGAAAATACAAAATTTATTTGTACTCGCTACGAAACAGGAGAAAAGCTCGGCGAGCCTCGCTTTTCGTCCTGTTTCTAAAGCTCATACAAATAAATTTTATAATGTACATATATTGTATATTTACTACAAGTATCACATTAACTTATCATGATCTAAGAAAATGAGGTCAAGGTCAGATAAACCATGCCAGAAATGGAACAGCTTACAATCATTCCATACATTGAATACAGTTGACCTATTGCTTATAGTATACAAGAAACAGACTAAACCATGAAAACTTTATATTGACCAATGAACCATGAATATGAGGTCAAGGTCAGATAAACCCTGCCAGACAGACATATACACTTTTACAATCACTTCATGGATCAAATATAGTTGACGTATCGAATATAGTATCTAAGAAACAAACTTAACCACAAAATCTTATCTTTGACTAATAAACCATGAAAATGAGGTCAAGGTCAGATGATACCTGCCAGACAGACATATAAACATTAATAACAATCATTTCAGACACCAAACATAGTTGACCTATTGCTTATAGTTTAAGAAATACAGATCAAAACACAAAAACTTAACATTGAACAATGAATCGTGAAAATGAGGTCAAGGTCAAATAAAACCTGCCAGATTGACATGTACATCATAAAATATTTCCATACACCAAAAATAGTAGACCTTAGTCAATTGCTTATAGTATCTGAGATATGGACTTGACCACAAAAACTTAACCTTGTTCACTGATCCATGAAATGAGGTTGAGGTCAAGTGAAAACTATCTGACAGCCATGAGGACTGTGCAAAGTATGCACATACCAAATATATTTATCCTATTACTCATAACAAGAGAGAAATTCATATTACAAAAAATCTTAACTTTTTTTCAAGTAGTCACTGAACCATGAACATGAGGTCAAGGACAAAGGAAATATGACAGACGGAAACTTCATAACATAAGGCATCTATATACAAAGTATGAAGCATCCAGATCTTCTACCTTCTGAAATATTAAGCTTTTAAGTACTTCGTTAATGCCCCTGCTAGATCACTATCCCTATGTCTAGCTTTCTGTGACAAAAGTCGCAGGCTCGACAAAAAAAAAGACAATGTCAAGGCAAAAAAAGAAAAACGACCACAAGACAAACAACAGTACACAAAACATAACATAGAAAATTAAAAACTGAGCAACTCCTACCCTATCAAAAACTGCTGATCTCGGGTGCTTCTGAAGGGTCAGCAGATCTTGCTCCACATGTGGCACCCAACGTGTTGCTCATGTAATAATGCTGTAATAATCAATTACAAATACATCTATTATTTTAAGTTCATTGAGCAAATTACATCTGTGAGATACATGTGTACACATGAATTCAAGGATATCCCCCAGATACAGATAAGTTTGCTTCATTTAGAAATTGACAACGAGGGTCTATTGAGAACCAACAAAACTAAGATGATTTCAATTTTCCCATCATTGTTTGATTGACAGAAATGAAAAATTTGTGTCACAGATGGCCTTGAGTATGTTCCACTTGTCTCAGCCACAATCCTGTCATATTCTTTTATGCATCTTATAGACTTCCATGTAAACCCCCATTTGTGTATGCCTATACTGATTTCATCAACAGAGTGGGGTTCAAAATGAAGTCTTGCCTTGACACCCCCAAAATGCGATCTATCAACAAATGTTTACTTTACCATGAGCAACATGACTGATGCCACTAGTGAAGCAGGAATGTTGAAATCTACCTCCTGACCATTTACTTCAGGACTGTCAGACAACATCTTATAGGAGTTATAGCCCTTAAATGTCAAATTTTATCATTTTTTTTCATTTTTGTCTATTTTTTTAATAAAATGCTCCGCAGGGCGCAGCTTGATACGACCGCAGAGGTCGAACCCTGAACAGTTGGGGCAAGTATGGACACAACATTCAAGCTTGATACAGCTTTGCATTTGGATTGTGATTAAATATTTGACACAGCATAGGTTTCTGACACAGAATGAATGTGGTCTAAGAACTAAAAAATTTTAAATTGGACATTCACCTATTATGGTCCAATATCCAAAATCTAAATACATGGTTAGATTCAGCATATCAAAGAACCCCAAGAATTCAATTTTTGATGAAATCAAACAAAGTTTAATTTTGGACCCTTTTGACCTCAATGTGGACAAAGTTGATAACGCGGCCCAAAAATCTAAATACATGGTTAGATTCAGCATATCAAAGAACCCCATATATTCAATTTTTGTTGAAATCAAACAAAGTTTAATTTTGGACCCCGATTTGGACCAACTTGAAAACTGGGCCCATAATCAAAAATCTAAATACATGTTTAGATTCAGCATATCAAAGAACCCTAAAAATTCAATTTTTGTTAAAATCAAACTAAGTTTAATTTTGGACCCTTTGGACCTTAATGTAGACCAATTTGAAGACGGAACCAAAAATTAAGAATCTAAATACACGGTTAGATTCGGCATATCAAAGAACCCCAAGAATTCAATTTTTGATGAAATCAAACAAAGTTTAATTTTGGACCCTTTTGACCTCAATGTGGACAAAGTTGAAAACGCGGCCCAAAAATCAAAAATCTAAATACATGGTTAGATTCAGCATATCAAAGAACCCCATATATTCAATTTTTGTTGAAATCAAACAAAGTTTAATTTTGGACCCCGATTTGGACCAACTTGAAAACTGGGCCCGTAATCAAAAATCTAAATACATGTTTAGATTCAGCATATCAAAGAACCCTAAGAATTCAATTTTTGTTAAAATCAAACTAAGTTTAATTTTGGACCCTTTGGACCTTAATGTAGACCAATTTGAAAACGGAACCAAAAATTAAGAATCTAAATACATGGTTAGATTCGGCATATCAAAGAACCCCAATAATTCAATTTTTGATGAAATCAAACAAAGTTTAATTTTGGACCCTTTGGACCTCAATTTGGACCAATTAAAAAAACGGGGCCCAAAATCCAAAAACTAAATACACGGTTAGATTCAGCATATTAAAGAAACCCAAGAATTCAAGAATAAAACCCCATTGAAATTGGTCAAGAAATAAGCAATTTATACGAAGTATCTTCTTTTGCACAATACTGTGCAATTAAATATTTCTTGCTATTGCGCAATACTGTACAATTGACAATTTCTTGCTATTGCGCAATATTGTGCTATTGGATATTTCTTGCTATTGCGCAATACTGTGCAATTGAAGATTTCTTGCTATTGCGCAATACTGTGCAATTGAAGATTTCTTGCTATTGTGCAATACTGCGCAATTGAAAATTTCTTGCTATTGCACAATACTTATTATATAATAATTTACACATCCTGTTTGGAGTGTATCTCCTACCATATCATTATTATTTGCTTTTAAATATAAATCAGAAATAACCAACTTAAAATGGAAAATTTTAAAAGAAAAAAAAAATGAAAAAAAAAAAATCCCCCCCCCACAAATATTTTGAACCCCCTTATGATTCATCACCCCCAAACTCAATCCCAGCCTTCCCTTTGTGGAATGGTACCTTGCAGTACAATTTCAGAGAGATCCATACACTTGAACACAAGTTATTGTCTGGAAACTAGAAAAATGTGTTTTTTGGCCCCTTTTTGGCCCCAAATTCCTAAACGTTTAGGGCAATTACCCCCAAACTCAAACCCAGCTTTCCCTTTGTGATATGGAACCTTGTAGTACAATTTCAGAAAGATCCATACACTTACACACAAGTTATTGTCCTGAAACTAGAAAAATGCTTGTTTTTTGCCCCTTTTTGGCCCCTAATTCCTAAAATATTGAGGCAATTACCCCCATCATCAATCCCAGCCTTCCCTTTGTGGTATGGTACCTCGCAGTACAATTTCAGAGAGATCCATACACTTGAACACAAGTTATTGTCTGGAAACTAGAAAAATGCTTATTTTTGGCCCCTTTTTGGCCCCCAATTCCTAAATGTTTCGGCAATTACCCCCAAACTCAATTCCAGCTTTCCCTTTGTGATATGGAACCTTGTAGTACAATTTCAGAAAGATCCATACACTTACACACAAGTTATTGTTATGAAACTAGAAAAATGCTTGTTTTTTGCCCCTTTTTTGGCCCCTAATTCCTAAAATTTTGAGGCAATTACCCCCAAAATCAATCCCAGCATTCCTTTTGTGATATGGAACCTTGTGGTACAATGTCAGAGAGATCCATACTCTAACACACAAGTTATGTCTGGAAGTTACAAAAATGCTTATTTTTGGCCCCTTTTTGGCCCCTAATTCCTTTACTGTTGGTACCATAACCCCCAAAAACAATCCCAACCTTCCTTCTGTGGTATTGAACCTTGTGGTAAAATTTCATAGAGATCCATTCACTTAAACTAAAGTTAGAGTGCGAAAACCAATGTGTCTTCGGACGACGCCGGACGACGCCAGACGACGACGACGACGAC